AGGATTATATTTCACCATATATATATATATATATATATATATATATATATAGTAGCAATGCAGAGTTTTATTTAGTTTAGATGGCATGTCAAATTCTTTTTCATCTCTAGAAGTGCGAGAACCAAATTTGCTTCCTGCACTGTCTCTTAAAAGCACCTTTTAATGAGTTACCATGAATCCTAAGCTTCTACAATGTCTTTTACAAAATATATTGCAATTTATTTATTTATTTTGTAAAGAAAATGAAAATGTAGATGGTTATCCCATATATATTTTTACAAAAAAAATAAAAAAAAAATTACGTTTACATTACATCAATTTTTTAATTAGAAAAATTTTCATTGCTAATAAAACCAAAATTTAATTTAATTTTTTTTTAAATAGTTACAATCATGCTTGCCAGTGTAAATTTTTTCATTAACTACAAGTTATAGTAGGTGAGATTCAAACTTTCAATTTCATAAATAAACACTTTATAAGAAACTCATATACTACTACATCAGTAAGTATTTTGTAATTTAACATTAAACTTTTGCAATATTACATTATATATCTTCCTTGACATTTCAAAAAAATTCTGTAAAGTTGGAGGAGTGCATGATATCCTAAATAACTTAACGCAAGATTTTATGTTATTGCTATAGAATATTCCATTAAAAACCATTATTTTTATGATAGCCAATCATATCATAAATGTGGCATTGCTAAAACACCCTTAATTTCTATAATATCAACTGAAAAACCTCTCTTTGCCACCACGATTAGTACAAGTAGTAAAGAGAAGACTCTTTAAACTTTACTTTTTTAAAAAAAATAATATATTTATGTCCGATTAGCTCTATTTGTAAAGATATTCTAAATTTGATCTAAATATTGATGTGTTAGAATTCTTTAACATATGTATGGATGTGAAAACTACAATGGTTTTTATCGAATGTGCCAGAGTCTCAATTTTTTTCATTTTATTACCCCACTCCAAAATTCCCAATGAAATATTTTATTTTAGAAGCAAATCCTTTTCTTCGTACATCTGAACAATAAAAAATAACTTATTTTTGGGAAAAAATATTTTTTGTGCAAAACAAATGTATCCTGAATAGAAATTTAATTACTTTAATAATATTTTAATTAATTGTTGATATTTTTATAACAATGTAAATTAATGCAATACTATGATTAATAAACGATCATATTCTTACTCTAGAGTTATTTATATATAAAAATAAAATATCATAAATTTATTTTCTTATAATTCTAACATGGTATTATTCTTTCTGGCTTAAAACTTTATCTATTTTTTTTCTCTAAATAACAAATTAAAAGGAAGATGAATAGCACTAATTAAATTTGAAAGATAATTCAATTTTTAGATATGAAAATTTGTTTGTAAATTACAAGGAAAATATAAATAAAATGATCTTTTTTATTTCTTTTACACTTTTATATATTTTTACATTCAATTGTTGATAATATATTATTTCATATATATATTTTTACATTCAATTGTTGATAAGATATTATTTCATATATATTTTTACATTCAATTGTTGATAACATATTATTTCATATATATTTTTACATTCAATTGTTGATAACATATTATTTCATATATATTTTTTAATTGAATTGCTTATAGATTATTATTGTTTAGGTGCTATTTTTTCATTCATCCAAAATAAAAATTTTCGTAAAATATATAAAAACTAACGAATCTTTTAAAATCACCCTATATATCATATGACGTTTCTCGTTAGTAGTATCGCATCCATGTTCGGGCTACATGGTTTATTCGCTCACCAGAAACTAACAAACACACATAACAAGTCTTGGAACTAAAAGTGGTGAAAGCGTGTAATTTTGGCCCTTCAAGCTACAATGTGTCCATGTCTTGATAATCGAGAACAAAGCGAAAGCCCAAGAAGTGAAAGGTTAATATTGAGATTTTAAGTAGAAGAGATATGGGGAATTTTTCAAAAGGTGTGTTATACTTTTCACCTTATAGATTTATCGATGCTCATTTTATCCCCATAGTTTATTATTTCCCAAATTTACTCCTATTATTTTTAAAAAGTTTCAATTTACCTTTTGCTATAATTAACTAACGAAAAAATCACTTTTTTTTCTTATTTTGTTTTTTTCTTTTTTCCTTTAAATGCTGTAGAATCTCATATTGATATCATTGTAGATAGTTGTATTTGACCTAAAATAATTTCATTTTTTGTTGGGCAAATGGCAAGTTTCATATATATACATGTACTTTTAATGTTTTATGCATTTTGCTCGTTATGCAAAATTTTGTACGGAATTTATCCTTTATTATAAGTTTTGTTATGATTTTTCTTTTTCCATCCAATTCTGTTGCATTAGATATCATGTATTCATGGGTAAAACATTGTGCATCGAGGCATAAGAATAAGAATATTCCAAGTGATAGTTTACAAACTATCAAAATATAAAAAGAGGAAAGAAAAAAATCTAAATTCAAAATATAAAAGATATGAGATTAATTTTTATTTTTTTTAGCTTAAACTTCATTTATTCTTTTCTAATCTTTTTTTCTCTTTTGAAAAACTTATCATGCCTGCCGCATGTAGTACTTATCTAATGGCCTGTAATATTTTTTTCCCTACCTTTTAATTTGATAGTAGATATTTAATAATAGCGTGGATAAGATACTTAGGTAAAATATACACTTTTTTTTTTAAATCTAAATCTAATTTAATTTTTTTTTAATTTTCATTTACAGAGACTTTTTTTTCCTTCTTTCTATCAATTTTAAATTTCTACTTTCCTCGATGCACATTTTGACTCACAAAATAGTACCAAACTAGCCATTGGACCCAATTGGCACTACGAGAAGGCCTTATTTGTATTTTTTTTTCTATTATCGATGTTTTCTTTCTTTGTTCTTTTTTTATCAATGCTTATGAGCTAACCTCTCTAGATCTCTCTCTTATAATCTTGAATATTGTATCTGTAATATCCAATTTAAATATAATAAATAATAATCCAACCGCTTAGGTCTTAACTAATCATAAGTAAACAAACTTTATGCAACTTATACATTATCATAATCACATACTATATATATAGTACCAATGTTTTTTGAGAAATTAAGAAAAAGCAGGAATTGCAAGTAGGTGCTAAAAAAAGAAGTTAAATAACAGGATTTACGTGAGATATCTTGTAAAAAAAAATCAACAATCACTTCAACAATTTAAATAACATCAACCCATGATCAAGTGAAACAACAATATTCTAATTAACATATAGAAAAAAAATCAAATTATTACCATATTTATGCATAATGAAGAAGAAAATGTGACAGATTTGTCATACTTGGAAAACAAAAAAAGAGATTCATCAAAGAGCATTTATGTTTATGTTATGTGTAAGTGATACATGGCTATTGTGTTAGTAAAATTGACTCCTATTAATATTGAATCACATATAAAAAGAGAACATGCAAATTCAAAAGGTTAATTAATGTTTCTATGAAGCTGGTTTTTAGATAAATTATAATATTTTGTATTAATTATAAATCAATTAGGTGAAATAGATAACGACATGTATAATTCTGTAAAATAAATAATACTTAATAGATATCACGTCATATTTTGTTTGGAAAGACTTCTTAATATGATTGAGGATATATTAACAAATTTGGTTATATTGGAGATTTCAATTTGAATGACACTGATTGCCACTTGTCTTTGTATGGTATATGCAAGTTTCTAGAAAAAAGAACAGTTTCAGGGACTAGCTATTTTCCTGCATTATGAAATTGGATGGAATGACAATCTTTTGAAAACTCGTGTATAGAATAAAAAACGAAAAAGAAGAGTGACAAAATCCACAAAAAATTAAGAGTACAATAACAATTTGTGACATTAATTTTATCCGTCCTTATGATAGGACAAACAGATGAAGATTCTTATGCGGTATCTTTGGCTTATCATTTGACCAAAAAGACTCCCAAATTTCCTCTCATTTGATTATATACCTACGTACAGAAACATGCTATAACTTCAAAATATAAAATTCTTTTCTTTTCCTTCGAGCGAGTAAATTATAAATTAATCCTTCTAGTTTTAAAAGTAAATTATTTTATTTTATTTACTAATTATTTAGTTTTTTTCTATTTCCTATTTCTTCTAATTTATTTTTTTCATAAAAAAATAGATATTACGAAAAGATTGATAAATTTTTTTTAAATAAAATAATATTAAATTAAATCAAATTGTTCAAAGATCTAAATAATTAATGTTTAGAATAAAACTAATTAATTTTTTTAGTTTTAAATTTGTTTTTGAAAACTAAAAAAATTAATTAATAATTTATTCTTTTCGAGTTGGCATCATAAATTATTAATTAAAAGACATTGGTTCACATCATCATCATTATTATTTACAGAAGAGAGGATCGAATTCGATACATTTTTTTTTCAAGAAAGAGGACTCTAATATAAATTGAATTACAACCCATTGATTACATACTAATTACTTGTAAGACAAGCATATATAATCCACCTCATATTACAAGAATCATGAGAATTCTAGAATTGCCATCCCTGTTTACATTGCTAATGAGAGACCATAAAATATTAATATTTCGATATTGATATCGCTTCAAGGACACCTCACTAATTATGAGGTAAGGATAAATCCTTACATTAGATCATGATGGCCACTAATATCATTTCAGCATTCATTATACGTGATCAAGCTTTTCTTTTCTCTGTCTGTCCGATTATGCAAACAAAACAAAAGCCGCTTCAACATGTCTTCTCCTTTTTGTATGTTATTGGGGGCAATTCCTTGCAGCTTGCCTCCTTGAAATTTCCGTCTACAGTAATAATTTCAACATAGTATCATTGTTTTGTTTTTCAAATGTAGTCAAGGACAAAGAGGTGAAGGTTCTTATGCGATGTTTCCAAGTTATACTAGTATATATAAATCAATAGCCTTCTCTAATTAATTAGGTCACACGATTAGATTTCCATGGGGAAACACTGCCTTTTGTTTCTTTGCCTAGTTGGAATGTCATGCGTTCCTTTGCTTCATAGTTACCTGGCCTTGGCTGCCGGAACTGACGATGGGTCTGAGCAATGGGGATATGTAGAAGTTCGACCCAGTATGCCCATAATTTGTTTTTCAGTTTTACTATATATATTTAGGTTTGTTAATGTGAATAATAGTTGTTTTCATTTTTTTTTTCTTTGTGCAATGTAGAGGCTCATCTATTTTGGTGGCATTATAAAAGTCCTCATAGGGTTGAAGATCCAACAAGACCATGGCCAATAATTCTATGGCTCCAAGGAGGACCAGTGAGTTTGAAGTTACAAATAATGAGAATCTAAGAGATATATCTTTAATTATTATGAATTATATATAATATTTCCTGGGTTAGGCAATGTTATAGGTTAGATGATTCTGATTTTGATACGTTGTATTGAACTCAGGGGGCCTCTGGCGTTGCATTTGGAAATTTCCTAGAAATAGGACCATTGGACGGCAACTTGAAGCCCCGCAATTCTACATGGCTCCTGAAAGCAGATCTTTTATTTGTGGTACAATTTTATTTATTTATTGATCCATCACTTTTGCCCTTTAATTTTGTTTTTCGTTGGCCTTTTGCAAGAAGTGAGTGATTTCATTGCTTAATTCATGGGATTTAGGATAGTCCAGTGGCAACAGGATTTAGTTATGTGGAGGACGAGGCATTGGTGGCTAGGAGTGATGAAGAGGCAGCAGCTGATTTAACTGCCTTGTTGAAAGAGCTCTTTAATGGAAACGAGACACTCCAAAAAAGTCCTTTATACATATTTGGTGAGTCATATGGAGGCAAATTTGCTGCCACCCTCGGGGTTTCAGCTCTCAAAGCCATTGAAGCAGGGGAATTGAAGCTTCAGCTAGGGGGTATATAAGTACATTATATTTTAAGTTGATATTGTATGATAACTAGCGTCCCACTATTTGAGAAAATATTTTCTACCTTACAGGAGTTGCTTTGGGAGATAGCTGGATTTCTCCTGAAGATTTCGTGGTATGTGAATATCATATAAGCTAATTTCTTTCTTAGAGCTTTTAACTGAATTCAAAATGCAGTTTACATGGGGTCCTCTTCTCAAAGATCTATCAAGAATGAACAACGATGGTTTAAACAGCTCAAACAGGTCCTAATCGAAGCTGCTGCGTACCTTGATTCTACTCATGTTTTTTAGGTCATGAATAATGTGATTTGACAACTACTTGTTTGCAAAAATAGTTTAGCTGTAAAGATTCAGCAGCAGCTAGCTGAAGGAAAATATGAAGATGCCACATCAACATGGGGTGATCTTGAGCAGGATGTACTTTCCAACAGTAACAATGTGGTATTTATGCATCTGTCAGTCTCAATGCACACTAAAGATTTCAGAAATTTGAGTAATTAGCCGTTACATTCTTGTGCAGGATTTCTACAACTTTTTGTTGGATGCTGTAAATGATCCTGTTGTCGGGAGCACAGCCAAAGGATCAAAAGGATTTGCCGCTGTTGACAGGTATTCCAGATATCTGAGCACCAAGATGTATCCATCATCCGACAGGATTGGAGTGAGGAGCACCGTAGACCTTTATGCCCTAATGAACGGACCTATTTACCAGAAACTAAAAATTATTCCTGAGAATGTTACGTAAGCATATATATATATATATGTAGTCTTTATAATTAATTGTTTGAGCTGTTTCATTTATTATTATTATTATTATTATTATTATCAGGATTTACTCCGTTAATTAATTTGATGAAGATAATACCACTCTAATAATCTTTAATTAATGCAATGTAGATGGGGAGGACAAGATGGGTTGGTTTTCCAGGCCTTGATTGGTGATTTCATGAGGCCTAGAATCCAAGAGGTAAAATCTGCATCAATTTTCATGTTGAATTAAATTATGTTGAATGTAAGGAGTGGAGAAATTTTATAATACACCAAGAGTAACTAGTAATATGTACAGTAATTACTCCATACATTCACTCTAAGAAGAAATATAGATAAAAAAAAAAACAAGATAGAGAAAATAAAAAGGAAATCTTCTTGCCACTTTTAGTGACAAGAGTAACTAGTAATATATACAGTAGTTACTCTATGGATTCACTCTAAGAAGAAATATAGACAAAAAAAAAAAACAAGATAAAGAAAATAAAAAATGAAATCTTCTTGTCACTTTTAGTGGCTATGGATGTAAATTTTTTTTTATATCTATCTCTCTCTCTAGAGTAGGCTCATAGAGTAATTATTATAGATATCATTAATTACTTACGATGTATTATAAAATTTCTCGTAAAGAGGGGAAGAAAGGAGCAACGGAGGTTTAGCACATCTTAAAATTACTACTATTATTTTCCAGGTTGATGAGCTCTTAGCCAAAGGTATAAATGTGACTATATACAATGGACAGGTATGGCAACAGTATCGGAATATGGGATTGTACCGAGTCAACACCTGTAGGCTATAGTAGTTAAATTATTATTATTATATATATATATATATATATATATATATAATAATAATAATAATAATAATTTAACTACTATAGCCTACAGGTGTTGACTCGGTACAATCCCATATATATATATATATCCATTCAGTTTAAAAAGTTTATTAATTATAGTAATACATCAGTATTTTTTTAACAATATTTTTTTGTTTTAGAAAAAAATCTATCTAATTTAATCATGCATGACAAAATAACATACTAATGAAAATATTTACTTTCAACATTAAGATTTTGAGTAAAAAATTACGATAATAAATTAAAATTTTCATCCTTTTTAAATTTGCAATCCAAAATTTTTAGAAATATTTAAATTAAAGATTATTAAGTCTTCTTTAAATTTCTCGCAAAAACTTAAGCAAAAACATTAGTCCCGAAATTAAGGCGGCAAGTTAAAATTTTCATATCTTCCAAATTTATGTGCAATTTTTATTTTTTACAAGTATAAAATTCCTCATTTGTGTAAAAAACAAATTAGAGCGTATAGGATAAATTCTAATTTGTATTGAACGTGATCCATATTTTACAAGCTATCATATTTTGTAGAATAATAAATATTTTTTATGTAATAAAAAAATTCTTTAAATTGTTTATGTTAAAAGTATTTGTATGTAAAAAGAGAAAATATAAAGAATGTTGACTTTTTGTTATTTAAAAATAAAAAATACAAGAAATAATTGATTTATTTTATCAATTAAGAATATTTTAAAAAATATTGCACTAAAAATTTTGACCAAACAAATATTTTAAAATAAAAATAAATAAATAAAGGATAATTTATCTGGAACATTATTATTATTATTATTTTCTAAACAACATTTCTATATATGTTATTCAACATGAAGGATGCGGATTTTTTAATTATAAAGTTTTCAGCTGAATATAATATTGCGAATTGTATCTGGCGCTCGCTGATTTGTATATAATTTTTCTCTTCGCCATTTGTTTTCCGAACATGTTTTTTTTTTAATATATAATTTTCATTACCATATATATGTGTGTTTTCAGTTGCTTACACATATATCCATATTTAGTCCTATTTTTCAAAAATAAAAAATAAAATTAAAGACACATTGATCCATAGATGAGATTTAATCGACTCAAATTTTTTTTTAAAAAAGCCACATATAAAATATCAATAAATTTTTATTTTATATTGTTAATTCCTTGAGTACTTGATGAATGCATTGAAACTCATGGACCTATGTGTAAAAAAAAAAAGAGTGTAAATATTAATTAGTGGATAGAGAGATACATTTTGATTTTGATTTTTATTTTATAGGTGATCAGATTAATAATCTGTCGTACACTGACGTCTCCATACGTTTCATCATCTCTTGCAACTACAATGATTGGGTTGATTTTTCATGTATACGCAGGTTGATCTCATATGCTCAACTAAAGGAGCAGAAGCCTGGATTAACAAACTCAAGTATCCCTCCACACTCATTTTAATTAATTGAATCAAATCAAACTTTGAAAGCATGAAAATCAGCTCGCTAATTCCTTTTTGGATTACCGTATGTGGGCTTACTAGAAGAATTTTGAATATTTCAGGTGGGATGGTTTACAAAATTTCTTAAGTTTGGATCGTTCTCCTTTATATTGCAACGGTGACAACACAACCACACGAGGATTTACAATTTCATACAAGAACCTGTCTTTTTATTGGATCCTTGGGGCTGGCCACCTTGTAAGCAACTCGTTAAAATGACCAAAATTTCCATGTTATTAATTTCTTTTACCAAACAATATTCATTAATCTTACACGGTGTATACATGCAGGTTCCACTCGACCAACCTTGTGTTTCTCTGCAGATGGCGGGGAATGTTACCAAGTCACCAAACCACTTTTAGTGGTGGATAATGGTTAACATAACGCAAGACAATTTGTCCAACAATGTATGTGAAATCTATTGCTTCGATCTTCCAAAAAAAATACATTGAGCTTTGAAATGGTAACGAAGAAAGATGAATTATGCCTTTTGTCATGGAAGGCGTCCTGGATCATGGCTTGAGGTTTTGTAGTAGTGTTCTGGTATTGTCTTTTCCTGTTTTCATATGTTCTTGTTGTTTTCTTTTGCACTGCTAATCGATCTGTAGCTGCGCTCTTGCACTTGTTTTCACCGGTGGCTTCCTTTTAGCCTCTTGGTGGTTATTTATTCAATTAAAAAAGTTAGAAAAGGTTTTGAAATCAATTATTTTATTGAAATTACTTTCTGTTAGGTAAAACTCTCGGTTTAATTGAATGGAATCTAGACTAAATCAAGCTATAATGAATTGAAAGATAAAAATATAAGAAAGGTTGTCATTGATGAATCGACACGACTCATCTTTTATACTGTTAAAAAGTAGTCATAAATGAATCAAATGCCATTTAGCATGAGCACCTTTGACATCGAATATTAACTTGTGATCTCTGTCCCCACTCCTAGTCCTGGCGCGACTAAAACCTGGTTTGCCAATACTCTCGTATGCCACAAATAGGCGAGAGAGATTCGGGGACTGTTTAATTATAGAAAATAGTTTTTTATTTTTATTTTTTTCTTGAAAATTTATTGACGAATGAAATCATTTTCCACTTCAGAAATTGAAAAAACATATTCAAACATATTTTTTTTTCCAGTGTTTTTGCTCATAAATAGTTATTTATTTAGCTGCCTTTTTTTTTTTTTTGTTCCTTATAACTTGGAAGAAATTTTATTCATGCTAATTAATTTTGATATATTTTCATGAAGTTTATTATATGAGATAGACAAATGATATTATTCATAATATTGTAATTATTTTCTTTATCAACAACATAAAATCAACTGTTAGGAAGAAGAGTTTTGTTTTTGGTAAGTAGAGCAAATCTGGGGGTTCTAATCTATTAAAAAAAAGTGGGTAGAAATGGCTATAGTAGGTTCTTCCGACGAGTCCTGGCAGCTATCCAGTTCGCCAGTCAATGACTGAGCTTTAATTAGATAGGTGGTAGAGCAAGCTGGAGCGAGTAGAGATCATGGGGCGAGTAAGCCAACTTCATGATAAAAGCTTCGTTCATATAATTCATTTTTTGAACGCCTAAACCACCGTGATGCTTAGGCTGACAAATAAAATCTCACCTTATAAAATGGATTTTCTTCTTATCTAGGCTATCTCTCTAGATAAAATTACTATACATTTTTCCAATAGCTTAACAAATCGGCTTAGGGAGCATAGCGGTTTGCATAGGGTATAAAGAAATAGTTGCTAGAACGGACTTACGCAACGTAATACTCATTTCAACCTAATAACCTCTGCTGCAATTTTGCTAGCAAGTACCCATAAGTTTGCTTGTTGATCTTTTGATGCAAAAGCAGGTTTAATGGTAATTTTTGCCTCCATTCTATTACGATTTGATAATTTCTTGTTCTTAATATGAAATTGTGTAATTTTAATCCGAAAGCATTGGTTTTAGAAAAAATTAATCCAATTGTCCCGATTGTTGTTATATATAATGGTCAACTAGATTGATCGTTATTTGTGCCGTTTAATATTTTTTAAAAAAAGTTTAAAAGATGAATTTAGAATTAAGTGGGGTTAGATTAGAGGGATAAGGCGGACGACTTGTTGTTTGCCTTATTCGCCTAATCTAACATGCAAAAGGGAAGGAGAGAGAGCGAGAGAGAGTAAAGCTTTTGAAATCAAATGGTTGTTCCGTAATTGAGAGAGAGAGAGAGAGAGAGAGAGAATTGGGTTGTCTTAGCTTGATTGTTATCGAATCCCTAGAGAGATGAAATTGCGATGAGAAGGATTGACTTCGGGATAGAAAGAATGATTTAGGTCATTTTCAAATTTTGTAATCTTCCTCAAATTTGGTATGTGGTTGTGGGATTTTATGGCTTCCCATTCTTTTCCTATTTCAAAATCATCAAATGCAAAAGCATGTGACATGAAAGACATCTTTATTATTCATTTAAAAACCCCGAGTATGATTATTTAGAGGGTTGTCCCACAAGATACTACAATTACGGATTCTCAACTCCTCAATGGACTTCATGGAGTGAAAGATGGGCTAGATGTCATGAAAGAAGGGATTGAACGAATCGGAGATAGTTTAGCATTTTAGACAACAACTTCTAAAAGAGTTGAAAAGTTTGAGAAAGCTCGCTAACTTTCTTCTCATTCCTATCACGAAGAAATTGGCTTTAGATTATCCAATGAGATGGAATTCTACTTATTTGATGCTTGAAATTGCTTTATTATATAAGGATTATTTCTCTAGGTTAAAGCATCGTAAACCTCATTATAAGGTTGCGCCTACCGATAGTGATTGAGAATTCGCAAAGAAAATGTGTGAGAGATTAAAGATCTTTTATAGTATTACCGAATTATTTTCGAAACTCGATACCTCATGGCTAATATGTTTTTCGAGTAAAATTTACGAAATTAAGGTTACATTCACTTGTCCTAATCAAATGGTTAGTGAAATGGCGAGTAAGCATGTTAGTCAAGTTCAATAAGTATTGGAGTGTGATTCATGAAATAATGAGAGTAGATGCAGTTTTAGATCCCAAATACAAATGGATTCACTAGAGTTTTATTTTGAGAAAGTTTATGGGAATCGAGCTATGGTTTAGATTGAGAATATAAGGAAGTTTTGTCATGGTTTCGTTGGTCGATTACCAAAAAATAAGAATGTGGATGTAGGATATGGTAGCTTTGTTGTGGCTAATCCTTCAATAGTTTATAAGGATATGGAATCCGAGTTTGACTTGTATGTTTTAAGAAAGAAGGCCAAGGTTACTTTTGTCAAGACGAGCTAGACTATTACTTAGATGAGGGTGTTATTCCCCAAAGGTTTTGATACTTTAGTATATTGAAAAGTAAATGGGGTGAAGCATCCTACTTTAATGGCAATTGCTAAGGATGTATTGGTAATCCCCGTGTCAACCGTTGCTTTAGAATCGACTTTTAATGCCGGTGGCGAGCTAGTATGTCCACATCGAAGTAGACTTCATCCAAAGATGGTGAAAGCATTAATGTGTGCTCAAAATTGGTTATGGGCAACTGAAAATAAAAGTAATGTACTAAAACTCTACATATGAATTTGATTTTTTTATTAATTTCTTAAAAAATTTATATATTTTATTTATGTTTATTATATTTGTTTCTAGGTGAAACTTCATTTTTTTCGGATGGTTATTTACTATGTATGAGGAGTATCCGAAGAAGATGAAGATATAAAGTAATATGTCAAAGTTTAAATAACGAGCATTGAAAAATTTTGTGGTGACTAATTCACTTTTAATTTTAACAAATATAGAATTTGTAGTAATCGACGATTACGTTGAACTCTAATATAATGAGTGAGTTTTGATGATCTTTGAGTAGTAAAGACATGCAATGATTTTTTTTTTAATTGTATTTATGATATTTTATAAATTTAATTAAGTATGTTATTTATTCGATTGAAAATGATTTAATATATTATGAATTGTATTATAATCTTGTAGTTGAATATACTAAATGATTACATTGAACTCCATTTCCCTTTTTGTTTTAACAATAGTCCCTTAATGTTGTATGCTCGTTATAAGTTTTAGTGTCATAGTTTTTTTTATTGGATTTATGTTATATTAATTATGCTTGCAGTTTGAATGTGCAATTGGTTATATTGTTGTTGTTGTTAAGTATACTACTCGCTCGGTTTAGTTTGTTGAAATGCTACGACCAATACAAAATAGTGATAGTCAAAATTAACATATAGAAAGCCAAATATTAAAAAAGAAATCATTATATTTATTGATGAATGGTGGATAGAAAATTTTTCACTGGACATTCACTTTGGGTAATATTTCTTCCAATTGTGAATAAGGGGAACACAAAGCTTACGACTCATCCTAGGTTTATGTGTATAGAGATTTTTTACATGGCTTAGGTCTTCTAGTAAATGCGGTTATATTACATTATATTTAATTTAAGTTTTGATAGAACAAGTCCTCGTATATTCATTCACCGGCTAAAGGTCCATTTGCCTTTCTACTAGCTTAAAGTCGCACCTTTAAAGCATGATTGAATATGATGGGATTTCTAAGACACTTACCCATTTTGACTCGTGAAATCGAGGACATGAATATGTATGTAAAAACGTGGAGAAAAGGGATCAAAGTATGACTCATGGAGTTTGCATTGATTTTTCCAATAGGGGCTTAGAAAAGAGGACTAGAAGAGGGGTTCGAACCCCAAGAAAGTTAGTGATAAACCTTTTTTTTATGTTTATACTTACGAGTACTCTTCCTAATATTGACATTACAAGGGTCGTATCCAAATGTCCAATGTTATTGTCATTGTATGTTACTCGTCTAAATTTTATATCAAGTGGTTTTTCTATCACAAATCCCAACCAAACTTCCCTTGTTATTTGCTCATAAAGTGTTGAGTTAACTATAATTGAATTAAATTCTCTCTATGTAGGATTATATGCTCGGATGTTTTTTCATTATTTCTCCAAGTAGTTAGAAGGATTTTGTTGAGTTGAGTTTCAATGATTTGATTTCTTGCTTGGGAAATAAAATTATGCAAATTGTGTGTGCTCACTATCCAAAATCTATCAATCATCGATTGAATTATTGAGTGTTAATAGAATCTAGGATGTATGTGTTTACTTTTGTTGTGTCCTGGATTTATTTGTGTTTTTGGCTCGGGGCTTGCTCTCTTTTGAAGATAAATGGGGTGAAACGGGACATGGCGAGGCGAGGTGGATATAAATAGTTAAACAGGGCCCTGTTTGCCCCGTGGGGATCCCCGTCCCCATTTGGGGTGGGGATAGGATGGAAATTCTGCCTCTTCTCGGGCACGGGAGCGGGGATGGGGATGAAGACCCCCGCCCGTCCCATTGCCATCCTTACATTCACATGAAGAATAAGAAGCAAAGATATTAAAAAAAAATTAATTTTGAAAGTTTCCTGTTTTAAAAAGGGTTTTCAAAATGAAAAGTTTCCTTAATTAGGAAGTTTTCTAACATGGTAAGTTTTCTATTTTAGAATTAGTTTCCTAATTTGGAAAATAGTTTCAAATTTAAAAATAAATAACCTAAAATGGAAATGAGTTTTTTAATTTAGGTTAAAGGGTATTTTGAAAAATTGTTTCCTAATGTAGACTCGCCTAAAATAATCTAAAATTATTTATTTAAATAGTCCAAATAAATTAATTGAGCTAAAATGGTTTTGGCCTATTAGGTTTAATTAAAAGCCTTAAAATATTTTGATAGGAGGATAAACATCAACCTTATTGGATAAGGATGAATATTTTAAAGATAATGATCAAAAGTCCATATGTAAAATAACTTCTCATCCTTGAAAGATAAGAAAGCAACAACCTAGAGTCCTTAAAAGGACTCAATGCCACCCTCTCCCGGTCCTTAGAGGACAAGGAAACTCTTTTATAAATATGTGAGGGAGAGAGAGGTACGGTAATACAAGAAAAAAAAGAGGAAAAGAGAAATTCGACCAGCTCTAAAAACCACTAGAGGCACATGACAAAAAGAGAGAAAAAAAGAAAAAATAGTTTTTTTTTTTTCCAAAACCCTAGCACACCATACTCATTCTTTCTCTTTTAAGGTTGTCATAAAATTACTCGTAATAGATTTCTACAGAAACTACACAAATCGAAAAAGATGAAGCTAGCACCCTATCGATTTTAAGTACTTCTTTGTGGGTACTTGGACTACATAGATCATCAATAAAGGCTGGATACTTTGATGGCTTTTCTAATAAAAGAATTTAGATATGTGATATAAGAGTTAATTCTTTATTCATTACTTTAAATTCATGCATGTGTGGTTAATGGATTCAATGGCTTGATCATGAGCCCTTAGATAAACAAATTTTTTTTTATTCCGCACCTCCATAGGATGCACGATCCTTTACGAGATAGTATTTATCATTATAATAGTAACACCGGCTCCTTAACCTTCTCTCATCTAGTTTTTTATTGCTTATCAGCCTCTTAGTCTTATACACAAAATTGCCACTTTGAAACCGAAGTGGTAGAGTCAATAGTTTTTTTGAATTCGGGTTTACATCTTAGTGGAGATTTATTGGAATTTGTTGATTTGTAAATTTGGTGTTCTAATTAAATTTATAGTATTAGATCTTTAAGTGTTTAAGGCAAAATTGGAATTTGTTCTTTGGAATAAAAGAGAAGACATTTTGAAGTTGGTTCTATTAGAATAATATGGAATATTTGTATTGGTTTCTTATAATTTGGCTAAAGCTATCGCTTCTTTTAAGGTCTTAGCTTTATGATCCTCACTAGCACTCGTAATTTAGCTTTAAGACTATCCATAAAATAGCTAACAATATAATCTTCAAATAGAGTTAGCTTATTGATTATTAAAATAAACTTTCCGAGAAGAAATTCTACATGCTTCGTCGGTCTTAATAACATCAATTTTGCCATTGGATCACTAAATTCCATAACTCTAAATCGAATACTCATAACATTTATGTAATCATTCCAATTTAGAATCCTATTAGTCCCACGCATTCTCACATAGCTTTGATGCCATTAGATAGCCTTTCCTTCTAGATAAAGAGCCGTAAAGTTTACCTTAGACTCTTTAAGTGTTCTATACACCGAGAAAAATTTCTCACATCTAAAAACCCAACATTCAAAATCTTCTCCATTAAACTTAAGAAATTCCACTCTAGACATCCTAGTGTTGTACCGATACCTAAAATTACCTCCTCCATAACCGTTTCCCATAGGATACTCATACCGTAGCCTTCCAAAATTGTCCATATCCAAATTTCCAACTCCTTCCGTATTATTTCCATTATTATGATCATTATTCATCTCCTCCATCGCCGGACTCTTGGGTTCTTTCACAAGATCTTTTAATTCTATAATGTCATTATCATGTCTTTCAAACACACCGTTATATCTATCAAAAAGTTCAATAATTACCTTAGATAGATGAAAAATTGATTCCTTTATTTTTAATTTTTGCAATTCCTCTCGCCATGATTGTTAAATTCTCCTCAATTTCTCCACATATACCATGATTACCACTTCGCTACCAATTGATACAAATTCCTATTATGTAATTGAAGAACGAGAAGGAAATAGTAGATTCTATAATGGATTGAATATTGGAAATCTTTATTAAGAACTCGAATCAATCAAAGTAAAGTACTCGTACAATTCAAAAGTAAAACGAGTAGAAAAAAACTCGAGGAGAGTTCCGGAGAGGAAAATCGGAGAGAAGAATACGATTATTTAAAAATCCGGAAGATAAATCCAAATTGTTCTCTCTCTCTCTCTCTCTCTCTCTCATCTTTAATACACTAGCTATTAGAGACACTCTTAACGATAATACAACAAACTTATAACAACCAACCATGTTACCTTTAACAATCTATAAATGTGTTTCTCCATTTATTAGCCGACTTCTTTATCAAATGTTGCCTCATGTATTATAACCTTCAATCATAAGCTGCAATACCTTGTCCAATCAAAAGCCAAATTCTTCCCAACTTGTATTAGCAATTTTCATCATCATCATAGCAATTGCTCATCATCTTTAGGAACATACTTTTCCTCTATTAACCCTTCAATCTTTTGAATATCAATAATAAGGCTCTCAAAGGGTTTTCCTTTGTAGAAAAATTTCATATCAATCCAAAAGCGATCTCCGACTTATACCTATTAACTCCCATTTTGCTTTCTCTCGTTAAAAACTCGTTCTCCCTACCAATATTGATCTTTTTACGTGTCACTAGATTTGTTTCTTCACTTGATTTCTTAGAGTTCTCAACCTTAGATGAATTACCTATGAGAGCTTTTTTTTCCCCTCGTATCTTTCTCATCTTGTATAGAACCTTAAATAACATAAATTTAACTTTTAAATCATTTTTACTCTATTTAACACCTTATTGGCATTTTATTTAGAATATCAAACTCAAAAAATATTTAAAATAAGTCAATAAAAAATAATTATTATTAAAATTAAAATCATAAGAAGTTGTTAGATTGATGATCAAGAAACGTGATTCCTCTTTAATCATCGAAGTTAAAACTTAAAAACAAATCCTAAAACGTAAAATTATTATAAAGAGATAAATCAGTCTCAATACACATCTAGCTAGAAATTTTATAGTTTTAAAAGAATAATTACTAATATATTTTTTTCGGTATGCTATGGAAGGATAATTATTAATACTTATTTTATAAAAGAAAGATAAATATAAAGAGAAAAAAATAAAAAAGAGAATTAAAAAATAACCTAATTAAAAATATTCTTATTAATTTTGATATGTACCGATGTAACTTTTTTTTTTTCATTTATCTCTTTGTTTAAAGTAAATCTATAAAATAAATGTTAATAGTTATTTCTTAACTTTTTAAAAAAATTTCTCCACATTTGGCCATAGGAAATCTTGTCCATGAAAAAAAAAAACCGAAAACGTGGTTCTGAATTTTGTTTTGGCAAAATTTTGGTCGGGTCGTGGTTTAAGCTTGGGCACACATGTCTCCAACCAGGTAAAACGACACTACGGATACAAGTTATTAAAATTAAAATTAAAATTAAAATAAGTCAATAAAAAATAATAATTGTTAAAATTAAAATCATAAGAAGTTGTTAGATTGATGATCAAGAAATGCGATTCCTTTTTAATCATCGAAGTTAAAACTTAAAAACAGATCCTAAAACGTAAAATTATTATAAAGAAATAAATCGGTCTCAATACACATCTAGCTAGAAATTTTATAGTTTTAAAAGAATAATTACTAATATATTTTTTTCAGTATGCTACGGAAGGATAATTATTAATACTTATTTTATATATATAAAAAAATAAATATAAAGAGAGAAAAAATAAAAAAAGAATTAAAAAATAACCTAATTAAAAATATTCTGATTAATTTTGATATGTACTGATGTAATTTTTTTTTATTTATCTCTTTGTTTAAAGTAAATCTATAAAATAAATGTTAATAGTTATTTCTTAACTTTTTAAAAAAATTTCTCCACGTTTGGCCATAGGAAATCTTGTCCACGAAAAATAAAAATAAAAAATAAAAAACCGAAAACGCGGTTCTGAATTTGGTTTTGGCAAAATTTTGGTCGGGTCGTGGTTTAAGCTTGGGCACACGTGTCTCCAACCAGTAAAACGACGCTACGGATACAAGTTAAAAAAGCTTGTTTTCGAACAAACTGTTGTCAAAAAGCATCAACAATTTCTTTCTTCTTTATTCTTTCTTCTAACACAAGAGAAAGAGTTTGATAAAAACTTACATTCCTTAAACCTCGATTGACTAATCGGACCATCCAGATTTCTGTTTTCTCTCTTCAAGAAGCTATGTTCAAGTTCTGGTATTATTTCTCTCTCTATCTATCTGTAGATTAATCTGAATTTCTAGGGATTTGATTTAATTTGAACTTATTTGTTTTTTATATTTATTATTATTTATAGGATAGAGAAAAGGGTTTTTATATATGTAATCTTTGTGCTTAATCCTTATTGATTGATGGGTTTAAATTTCTATGCAATTATTTTTTTATAAAAATCCGATGTTCAATTTTTTATTTTATTTTTCTCATTTTCCTTACAGGGGTTCTCAGGATCAACAAGAGCAGCCACGCCCACAAGATGCTAATCCTTCACAATCTTGGTACCCTCCATCTGTAGTTAGTTCCTCTTCTTCACGCCCTGCAACACCAACTAGTAGCTCTTCTAGTTCCTACAGTTTACAAAGGCCTTCTGAACGCCCACTCTCTCCTTCACCTGCTGAAGCTGCGGGCATTATTACTCTTTTGAAGGACAAAAGGTGAGTCACTCTCTTGTTTTATGGTTGAGTACGAGATATAAACTTACTTTATGCTGTTATTATTGTGCTTTTTACATTTTCTAGTTACTTGTGTTCTTTGAAAATATGTATAGTGTTGATGAGCTACGGAAGCTATCGTCTGACAAGGATGCATACCATCAATTTTTGCTTTCACTTGACCAGGTTAAAATTCAAAACAATGTAAGTTAAGCTCTTTCCTTCTTTTTTTGCTTTCTCTGCATGTACAATGAATTTTACCTCTTGCTTTTTTGTTTGCTGAGTGGTATGAGTTAAATATTCTTGGTCTCAATTTGAATCGGTAGAATAAGAAAAGCCTAGTTACCTGCTGGTACTGCCTTCTTGGCCTCATTTTGGTTTTGTGGCTAGGGATCTCATTGGCCTAGGAATTTGCTGTATTCTGTGATGATTTTTTCCAGTGATCAATTGAAGAAGTGATAACTGAACAATAGTTAGTAGATGGAGGAATAGACATCATTTTGTCTCAGCTCTCTATATCGTTACATCATCCTAATCAATCCAGTAGAATGGATTCTGCTTTTTTTCATTTCTCTTCCTGTGTCCTTAGTTTTAGTTCCACCCCCTGCTGCTCACTACTCAATTAGTGAATTATTGTAATTCTCCAGAATCAAAACTGAAGATGATAATGTGATCCGAGGAATAGCACTGTCGTTTATTTATAGAATAAACTGGACAATTTGCAATCTGTTACAGATTTAAGAGTGAATTAGGTTTCCATGGTAACAAGTCAGGCATCTATAGAAACTCAGATGTACAAACATGCTTTTATGCCCAAGCAATCATGTAGGCATTCGTCAAATCAGAAGAAATCACCTGACTTATCGTTTTCTTCATGTGATTGGATGCTTATGCTTTTCTAAAACGTAACACAACTAAACATATGCATAAACTGCCATGTCTATTGAATGATATTAAATCGAGCCTTTGTTTCCTCAATCTTGCGAGAAGAGGAAAAAAAAAAAGGAAAAAAAAATAATTTATCTACCTCGTCTCTCCTTTTTGGAAAGTCCGCATGCTTGTTTTTGACTGCTTTTTCTGCTGTTCCGTCAGATAAGAGATGAGCTCCGCAAGGAAACTCTGCAGCTTGCCAGTAAGTTGTTGGACACCTTTTTGAAATATTTGAAGTTCACCTATAAAAGGATGAACTAATGCCAAAATACTGTTTTTGATATATAGGAGAGAACTTGGAGAAGGAGCCACGCATAATGGAGCTAAGAAACCAAGTGAGGTTTTAATGCTGTGTCTCATTTTTTTACTCACAGGTTTAATGTAATGCATTGAACTTGAAACCATTTTTTCCTTTCTCGTGTGCTCAGTGCAGGATAATACGGACAACTGAGCTGGCTGCTGCTCAGGAAAAACTAAACGAGCTGGAAAGACAGAAAGAAGAGTTGCTGAGGGCCTGCTCTCCTTCCTCCCTCCTGCAAAAGTTACAAGGTACACCTTAAGTTAAAGTTGTGAAAGCTCAAAAGATTTGGTAAAATGAGACATGAAAGGCACGTTCTTAGGTATGATCTGAATGTCTTCCTCATTTGCAGAGGCAATGAATAAGACAGAGGAGGAATCTGAAGCCCTCCATAGGCAGTTCCTTGATAAGGAGATAGATCTTGGGACCTTCATGCAGAAGTACAAAAAACTCCGTACCACCTATCACAAACGAGCACTTATCCATCTTGCAGCAAAAGCATCTACGACTGGGTGACCTGTACTTGAACATATATGAGAAACTTGGAAGATATGTTTGCTTGTCCGTGTAGTAGATCCATATATTCTGATGTACTTTCACATGTTCGGGTATCATTTGGTCATTTTTTTACAATAATTTGTGTATATTTGATATTAATTTTTGGTGCAGTTCCGCTTCTCTGCTTTCCAATTTTATCAGTTCCAACTAATACTAATTAGAGGGAACTGCGTAAGAAAAATAATAATGATAATAATTGAATTCGGTGCTAGTTATGGGAATTTAAAGCCATGAAGGTTCTCTGGTTTTTCCCAACTTTGCGCAAACATTTTGTGTTTTATGCTGGAATACATGGGACTTTAGCTTGTCAGATAGTGGACGCAGAGAAGAAACAAAGCCGAAATAAACGAATGAGATTTTTGTTATGGATGATTTCTCTTTCCCACGTACAGAAACGATCAGAACAAATGCGGCCCTCACCATTGCCTACTGCTGTTTCTCTGTTAGGAAAAAATAATCCTCCTTGGAGTCCTAATATCAATTACGCGGTGGCCGTGATATGCGCATCTCCTGGGAACTTCTGTAAGTCGCCATGAGTATGCTCGTCTTCTGGGAACTTCAATAGCTTAGGCCTAACTGTTGATTCATAAAGTAGGACTGCAAAACCTTAAGAGTGCATTTTAGCAGCTCTTAAATTCTTGTTCTTTTTGTGCAACTTCATGAAGGAGAAAAACTACTCTAATCATAGCTCTCTCGCTTGAACTTGTTTTAACTTTATTTTACTAACTTTCATCTATAAACTTGTACATTTACGCTTAAATCTTGCTTTAAGTTAGAATATCGATGTAGACTCAAAAATAATTGAATCAAAATAAGGTTAAAGAAACAAACTTACACCATATATGCTGTATTATTACCAAAAATATATTGTCACCAGATAATCATATGATAGACACCACTCCTTAACTTTCGTACCAAGAATTTAGCATTACATGTACCATTATTTGGCCGTGCGCAAGTTTACAGCGAACCTATGATAACAATAGATACTAAACGTCGGCCAAGCAAAGAAATGAGCTTATTGTTTAGAATACTAATAAATTGAACAGAGAGCACTCGTGTTCATGAGATCCTACCAGCATCAGCAATCAATAGCTACCGGAAACAGTATCTCATATCGCAGTCTGCCAGATAACAAAGAGTGTCATTCTTTTAGACGATCTAGTTCTTTTTCCCACTTAAACCCAAACATCTGGTGCCCAAACGGAACGATGAGGTTATAGCGAAAAACCTGCAGTGCATCATCTACACTCAATTCATGATCATATCAACTATAAAGAGAAGAGAATATTTACAGTTATAAAATTTTATAGTAACAACAGATAAAGAAAAACTGTTCCGCCTAGCTGCATATGGGCATTGCAAAGAACTGTGCCCAAGACAGAGCAACAAATGTTCTGACTTAGGTGGTGTTTGATAAGATTGAAAATTAAGTACTAAATTTTAAATGCTGAATCCGTTAAGTACTCGAATATGTTCGACAAGCTATTTGATATTTACTGAAAATTAAGTACCGAATATAATAAGTCCGTTTGAAGATGATAGAATATATATGATATTTTTTAAGATTTTAATTTGAATATATATATCCGATTATATTACTCTTATTGTTTAAAATTTATTTTTTTCAATTATTTGTTTTTTACTAAAATTCTCATCAAATTAATTTTTGATAGAATTTTATTTGTTAATAAATTTGATTTTTTAATATATGAATTTTGGAATAAAATTTTATAACGTCGATGTTTTATTTTTTAAAAATATATTATTATAATTTATATAATGAATTATTTTTATGCTTTTCAAATGAGTATTTTATTTTTCAAAATATATTATTATAATTTATAAATTCTGATATATATATATATATATATATATATATATATATATGAGAGAGAGAGAGAGAGAGAGAGAGAGAGAGAGAGAGAGAGAATATGTTTTAGATAGTTTGACTTAATCAGATAAGTTAAAAATTTTAATTTATCCGATTAAGTAAATTTTAACTGAACTTAAAGTTTTAATATAAGATCATTTAAGTTATCAAACAAAATTTTTATATTAAGTAGTACAACTTAACTTTTTAAGCTATTTAATTAGGTTATCAAACACCCCCTTAGTAAAATTAGACCCTTCCCCTGTCAGAAGTTTCAACACGTCAGAGCTTATTAACCAGTTAAGCCTCCACAAACGGGAGGCAAACCAAGCGCGCATCAAGGTTCAACAGCCCCAACTGAACTAAAGGCCACATAAAAGTAGATAGAGAGACAGCTAACCAAAAGCTCACCTTATTGTTGATATCACGCAGTTGAACTTGCAAAAATTCTGACCCTTCAATCCATTTGGAGTGATCCCCATTGCATTTGTTCATCCAAGCTTTCTTCAATGCTAACCGCCATTCAGATATCTGGCACCTTATCTCTTTGTTAAGCTCAACCCACTCCGGTGCACATCCATTTTTTGTAAGGATTCTATACAGGGTATCTTCGGCTGGATCAGTATGAGGATTTGTATTGAGGTTAAGGGGTTTTCCTTTCCCTGGTAAATTCTCAAATTGGCCTTCTTCCATTGAGTGCCATATTCTTTGCTCGACAACATTGATAATATCCGTTTCTGACCTGCCCAAATGACAGAAGAAGCAGCCTTCACGTAAATATCCTAGAGCTTGTTATCCGGCAGGTAGAGAAGTAAGAAATGTGGCAGTACAATAACCTCCGCCAGCGCGTGCATATACATATATATATATATATATAGGTTCTCTACAAAATTAGCTATGTTTCACCCTAGCAGCCGCTGCACCCTCATATCAGGGCACAACTTTCGTTTATGGAGCGTTAACGGCAACTCATGAGTTAAAATTTTTTTTTTTTTTGAAAAAAAAAAGAAAAAAAAGCAACCATATCGTATGGAAGTAATAAGATGTTAAAACAGATAATGGAAATGATGTATTAGCAGTAATAGAGAATTTCATAATGATCAAGGAAAAACAATTTTTTGGTTCATTCCCAAAATTCAGCACTTTTGATTTCCACTTGATTAATAAACGAGGCAGTAGAAATGAAACCGAAAACAGCAGAATTTGAAGTATATGCATATCAAAAGACGGAGCTAAGTAAGAATGTTAATAATAAGCTTAAATTGGAAAAATTAATTTAACAATGATTTGTTTTCATTGTAAATAGCTAGGAACAAAAAACAAAATTAAAAAAATAATAATAAATTAAATAAAGCCTGAATTATATGATAAATATAATGATAATAATAAAGCAGGCAGAAGAAATGTATAAGAGAAGAAGAAAAAGAAATTTTAAGCTAACCTAACAGAGTTGCGTTGGCCACGGAGTTCAGGAGGGAGCTTGCGGTCATTGACGGCGTCAAGAACTGCTGATAGACGCTGCTCCTCCCTTGTCCTCTTCTCCTTATTATCATGAGGCTTCGAAATGGAAGAAGACGATGCGGAGGAAGAGGAAAAGGCATGGGCGCCCAGCAAGATGGCTGACCTATTATTATTTGATTTATTAATCAACGAAGAAGACAAGAGGGCTCTTCCATTTCTCGCAACGCGAACCGCCACGGCCATGGCCAAGCCGAAACCCAGCCACACAAACAGAGACTGTCTTTGACTTCATTTGCAAAAGAAGGGTACTTTTATAAACTTTTATAAGGTACTATCCTACTTTTAATCTTATTTTGCCACGTCGACGATACGTGTCATCCAATCTGAACTCATTCTTATAATAACTGCAACCCAACTTGAGTAAATTATAAATTAGAAAGGAATTAATTAGTTTTCTTGATTTCAAAATATAATTATTTTGTTATTTTTTATTTAGTTTGATTTTTTAAAAAAAATACAAAATATATAAAAAAAATTGATGAAAAAAACATGTTATAAAATAAAAAAATATTAAATTAGTCGTGATTAGTATTTATTAAAAAAATTAAATAATTAATTTTTGAAACTAGAGAGGTTAATTAGTTTGTTCTAAAATAGAAAGGGACTAATTTATAATTTACTCACCCAACTTTAATAGTTTTTTTTTCCTTAAAAGGAAAAAAAAAAAACCTTGCTATGAAATTTATTTTCATTATTAAAACACGCACCGTGCATGTTGATTTGCCTCTCATTTGTTTAACGATACAAATTAGTAGAAAATGATCACCTTGCAATTAGTTAATGACGGTGTATCAGACAGCAATGGAAATTTTGAAAAATGGCATTCACTTGATTAATAATTCTCAATCATTTTTAAAGTTTTCAGAGTAACACCTTGCAAATGTTACACAAGGAAGATAATGTAATATCTCCCCATTACCAAAATCATAATGAAAACAACGCACCAATTACATACATATGTATAAAGATCATAAGATAATAATAAATTCAAAGAAATTAAAATCACTATTAGTAATGGTTTCCTTGGAACTGATCAGCAGTATCAGGTTCATCACACATCGGAGAGGTGAAGTAAAATGGAGTAAGTACATATTTAACGGTGTCCCGGTACACGGCGGTGGGTCGGCTGAGCTTCTCTCCTGATTTCCCACCAGCAAAGTCAGTGACAATGTTACAGGTAGGGTCTGGTGATGACACAAGCCTCACTGAGCATTTCTTCTCTTTCAGCTGCTTCCCATTAATGTATTTGCTCACTGTCATCTCAAATTCCCCTCTTTCATCCGTCACATCACTATCGTAATGCATCACTCTGCCTCTATCATCTGTGCATGTAAGGCATACTTTACAACCTGCAATTCAATCAACCATCGATTCAAAATTAGACAATACCAGCATCTGTAATGATGCTAAATCGTTAGGTTTAAATAAAATAATAAAAAGAAATGACCATATTCAAATCTAAAAGTTAACCAACACCAACATTTTATCGAAAAAATAATTTTTTGACACAATTGTGTGACTAAAGTAAAAACATAGCTATACAATATATTCAAAGTTTCATGGATTGATCACTAGCAACAAGGGAAGCATAGAGGGATAGGTGTACCTTTAATGGGCCTTTCACCATTAATCCAGTCATTATAACCCTTGGTGCAGTCCTGGCACAGTACTTTCCCAGCAACATGTATGACCCCATGAGTTTCCTCCCAAGCCATGGCTGAATTGGTGCATCCTATCAGGAGTGATGCTGCAAGCAACGTCAATATTGCAGCTGCCATCTTTTCTTTGTTTGCTTAAGATAGATTAATGAGACTAAATCCTTGGTTACAAGAAGCCCATATGATAAATATACATATATATAGTAATAGTGTGTAGGTGGTTCTTGAGCCTTTGTTTCAAAATAGAAGTGGATGGGCACTACTCGTTGACGTGCAATCCATTATCTTTTTCTATATTAGCACTCACCATTTGTTCTAGCTTCCTAATCCCAAATGAAATCGTTGACGACAACCATTGTATAATGGAGACCCTACAAAATAATTGCAGACAGGTGAAATATGCCCCCGTTAAAGTACTGGCCTGAACACGGAAATTAAAATGTCAATATTGCTAGTTCACTTGGAGAGAGTAGAAAACCTAGCTGCATATAAAAGTCTAGTAAACTATAAATTAATTAAATATTTCTTTTCGTTTTACTATTAATTAATTAATTCTCATGTTTTTAAATCTATTTGTAACTTACTTTTGTTATCCTCCTTTTTTTAAATTTATTTTATTTTTTTGTTTGAAGAACTAAAAAAAATGAGTAAAAAATATGAAAGAATTAATGAAAAAAACATTTTGTTAAAAAATAAAATAATATTAAATTAATTATGATCAACAATAGTCAAGAAACTAATTAATTAATTTTTTAAAAGAATGATTTAATTCATTTTGCAGAACAAAAAGGACTAATTTATAATTTACTCCGTAAAAGCTCCTAACTTTTTGGATTGAGAATTCAAAGACAGATTAGCAGGCTTAGATCGCAAGCAAGCATGAGAAAGGAAAGAGACAACAACACATACAATACGGTAAGATGTTGAGGTCCAGGTGGGAGCCAAGGAGAGTGGTCCCCTGACACTAAAGCAATCCACCAGACGCATTAACTTTGGAGGCACCCATAATTTTTTATTTTTAATTTCAAAATCCCAGTTTTGGATGTTTTTTCGCTCGTTTGATTGCTCGTTTTGGTTCTTACTAGGATTTAATTCGAATATAAAATGTGGTCACAGATTTTTATTTTTTATTTTCCTTAGAGAGCCTGGAAGTGCACAGCCCGTATAAAGCCAGGCTCGGGTTAAGACGTGAGCCCAAATACCAAGATTGAACCAGGCTAGAACCCAATTCCAACCATGAACAAGTCTAATCACAATCTGAAATACAGGGAAGCCATTGAAAGGGTTAACGGTTATTTTCAAAGATATATTGCCAAGAAAGACCAACTCAGTAATAAATAACGGGTAACTATCCATGACAAAATATGCAACCTCAACTGTAAAACTAAAAATCAACACAGTCATGAAATGATTGTAACAACTGAAGACGAGGCTAAGCACCACCCACATATGGGATTTCACTCAAACGACCCATTAGTGGATTTTCTATAGCTCATTTTTTTCGAAAATCACAGAAGATACGGCTCAGTCACAGCAAACCAGCTGCCTTGAGAGCAACCTTGAAGTCCTCTTCACTGTTCGAGGATGGTATCTGCATCAGAAATTAACAAAAGGTAAGCAATCAAATAACAAACTTCAAATTAATCCTTTTACTATAACTGACAACAAAAGTGGGATAGATCAGTCAGTATCATAGCATCCACTCAATCTAGCAGTTGAACACCATCTTACCTCTCGAGCATGAATAAGATCAAGCAAATGAATAATAAAATTTTCAAACAGAGAATTAATTGGAGAATTAAAGTATTTTATGAAACCTAAAAAGGTCACTAGGGTTTTTACCTCAGCTACTGGACTGTTGAAGTAGCTCTCTATCTTCCTCATGATCATTAAATCATCGTTGGTCATTATGAAATTAAACACAGCCCCTGCAGGATTACATAAAACCACTCACAATCAATAATTGCTGCTTTTACAGCTATAGTATCATAGAACCCAAATCATAACATTTTTTCTAGAAAAGCATTATAGAAGTGCATCTCACTAGAAAAAAGCAGAACCAAACTTTACCTTTGCGGCCAAAACGCCCAGCCCTACCAATCCTGTGCAAGTAGACCTCATAATGAGGCTCCGATCGATTTTCAAACTTCACTGGGAGATCATAATTTATTACCAAATTAACCTGAAAACAGGAAGGGGGCAGTATAAATACCAGACTCTAATACATTTTTAGCAATGAAAACCAGTAAGCAGGTTTTTGGGAGAATTAAAGACGCACCTGCTGTTGGTCAAAACCTCGGGCAAGAACATCGGTTGATATGAGAACTTGAGTCAATCCATCCTTGAATTCTTTGACTATTTTATCTCGGTCTTCAAGATTAAGTGCACCGTGAATGGTAGTGACTTCATAGCCAAAATTCACAAGGGACTTGTGCAGCATGTTGGCACTGTGCTTTGTGTTGACAAAGATAATGATCTGGCCAATATTCTCTCCTAGCTCAAGAATCCTGTCTTTTACTACTTCAATCTTGGCAAGTTCATCAGGAAGATTCACCTTATACTGCTTCAATGATTCTAATGACAGTTCTTCTTTCTTTACAAAAAGTTGATTGTAATCTTTCACAACCTTTGGCACAAAGTTCTTAACAGTCTCATCAAAAGTGGCAGAAAACAGAAGAACCTGGAACCAAATTGGAAATAGAAAGAAGTAAACTGCTGTTCTCCAAATTTAGAAATGCAACAAAGTTCTTGATCCAACCCCAACAAACTAATCATTTGATACATAAAAATCTTCAGCACATTATGGATAGCATGCAAGTATCGAACAATCAGTCAAGTTGTTCTTTTATTTTTATCTTTATATACGTTATTCAGTAACATGTAATTTTGTTGCTCTTTCTTTCTCTCATTATGTATATTATTGAGCAACTCAATGAATTTTGGTTGTTAGAATTTGAGAAATCAAATTTGGAACCTGAGATAATAAGAAGTACAGAACATTCGGATCTTATTTCTACCTTCCCCATCCTAAGTCAAAAATGTGTGAATGACAAACCTGGCAATGAGAATTGAATCTTTGAATGTCTTTCATTATCCTCAAGGAATCATCTTGAAAGCCATCCTGCATGAATTCAATCTACATCAGTAAACTCTTATATAAACCAACCAAGGATCAACAACTTATGCACAACTCGTCAAAGATTGTCTAATGTTATTTTCAAACTAAACTCATATAAAGTACAGAAAAGACATCAACACCAATGGGCCTGTAGTCCAGTGGTACTCTTGAAAAAGCAAGAAGTTTCAAGTCTCGCCTTTGTCAATCATTACTAATGCCAACAAAAAACACCAATTGCACCAGTATTCAAAAAAGCAATTGCACTATAATTAACTCTAACCAATACAGTGAAACAGATAAAGGTACAGATGATAATTGGCAGCATCCTTTTAATCATAAAATAATTTATAAACTAAATCAGAAAGTTAGCATACAACATTTCAAATTTAATGAACTCTCCTCTCCGAATACATCACCAGAGAGATCACTTTAATGAGTATAATGTCCTGTCTATCTGCTGGAAAACATCATTTGATAGTAAATCGTTCCAATGAAATGCAGCACTGCAACAATATGTTTATTGTTAGCAAATCATACCAAGTTTGAAGGAAAAATTTTACGTATTAGGCTTAGTCGCAATAAGGTCCCCATTAATTAATAATATAGAGTGCTGCACGATTAAGCAAGTAGAAAATAAGTGTGACTGACAAGGGGGAAGAGATATTGAAGCATGCCTCTTTTTTAACCTAGCGACACCCATGTCACAATGTTCTAAAAAGAACAGAACTTTTTGAAAAATACTTTATGCAGGAGGTATCAGTTCTTATCCTCTCAGTTATCTGAGTGTTTGTTCACAGCTAACACCTAAACAGTGTATGAGAGTGAGAGAGCAAGTCAGAAAGATAATTATTCCCATACAGTCCAGTCAGCAATATGGGAAATAACCAAAGTGATTCACTACATCTTCATATTTTGTTTTTTTTAGAAAAAAAAAAAAAAGTGGAAGACAAATAAATTAGCATATATAAATCACTACTCAAAACTGGGGCAGTAAACCTAAATTCTACAATATGCTGGCTTAGGGCTGAAGTTCTGGACACAAGATTTGGGATTCATGACAAGCAACTCACAGATATTGGAACTAACATTCAGCTATGAAAAACTTGAGCCACAGTTCTACTATTTTCCTCCAGTATTCTCTCTCTCTCTCTGCCCCTTGAAGGCCACTTGAACTCAGATTGGTCAAAAACATATAATACCCGTCTCCTTAACAGTTGCATGAAATTGCAATTCAGAGACAGAAGACTGTTGTATGTACCTCTAAACTAATGATTTAGTTTCTGCTACACTACCAATTCTCAACAACTTATCTCCTTGGAAATTGTGCTTTGATCAATCCCTACAATAATGCATCAACCATCATCTCTTAAACAGCTTTAATTGTGTTCAATACAGTCTCATCATCTATGTCATATTACCATCTGACAAGAAGTTGCAGTGCTAAAATGGCAACGGACAGGCAAAACTTGAAAAATCTCCTAAGTCATAGCATAAAGCAAAGTGCATTGACTAGGATCAAGTAATTGGGAACTTTTTCAGATCCAATGCCCCCAACACCACCGAAAAAAAAAAAAAAAAACCCAAAGAGAGAGACCGAGCCAAGTTGAACTGCTAAAATGAGCAAAAAAACTCTCAACATAGCAGAACCAACAAAAAATAAAAGATGCAATGCAGGTAAAGGGTGGCCATTAGTTATATAATATCATTGGAACCAAATTAGGAACGTGATCTGTGTAGCATATGTACCTTGGCCAGCATGTGATCAGCTTCATCAAAAACAAGAACCTTGATATCAGTAACACCCAATTTCCTTTGTGACATCAATCTCTTTATCGTACCAGGAGTCCCAATCACTACTTGTGCAGATATTGGTGGCCGGGATCTAGATCTGTCATTATTTCCGCTTTCTATGGGCACCGCACATTCTGAACTTATTCCAGTGTACTTTCCCATCTTCCGAAGAACTTCAATATTCTGAAAGGACCAATTTGATATTATCAAAACTGAAACTAATACTTTATTTTAACTGTTAAATTTTATTTTAAACAAAGAACCATTAAATAACTTATTACTAGTGCATCAATATGAGATTTAAAACTCAAAAACTTGACCAAGCCTGGGCCTATGGATCTCATATGATGAAGATCCAAGAATGTGCTTGCATCAAATTTCAAAATGAATTTTAGAAATAAAAAATGAACTTGAAGACATAACGAAAGCAAGTGTTTACCATACAAAATTCCCTAAATTGTTGGATACTTCATATTCTTCCCTCTTATTTTTCTTGATTGATGAAACCAAGCATTAAACAAACAGAAAGAAAAAGGAAAAAAAGAACTGTAACACAAAAACCAACCTGAATTGATAACTCTCTTGTAGGGCAAATGCAGAGGGCTTGGGGCCTTTGCTGTTTTGGATCAACACGACTCAGCATGCCAAGCACAAAACAAGTGGTCTTACCAGAACCATTATGTGCCTGAGCTATCAAATCTTTGAATGGAGGAGTCAGAATCATTGGAAGACTAATAGCTTGAATCTTACTAGGCTTCTGGAATTTCATCTCCACATACAACCCTTTGAGGAGCTCTGGCGACAGGTTCAAATCTTCAAACGTGGTTGCCGATGTGTACGGTGTATCCCCCGTTGTAACCTACATCAAATTAAACCCCAAAATTTAAGAAAAAACTAAAACACTTGCTTTACATTTGGTTGCTGACTTCCAATGTGACAATCAAAACTGAACCAACATCAGTTATTGCTTTCCAACAAAAATTATATCACATAAGCCCATTCTCTCATTTATGCACCAATTGCAAAAGAAATGAATCAGTTTAATCAAAATCTTAATCCTTATCTGTCCAGTATAAACAAAAGCACATAAAAGCCTCAAAGGTTTACCTCTCAATTTTTTTAGTTAAAACCAAATAATTATACAATAAAACGAAACAAAACAGTTAAAAACCCTAATTTGTTTTATTTAAACCCTATAAGTATGTAAATGTTCAATCTCAATCTCCACTTACGTAGATAAAAGCAACCTATACAAAACCTAAGAGAGAGAGAAAGATCGTACGGCTTGTATTCTGGAGTCTTCAGGATCGTCAAGGAACTTGTTTACTTTCTTGTTCTCGTCGATGGCTAGTGCGTCAACATTTAGCTCCGAGACAGCCTTTTCCTCGGATGCGCACGGTTGCTCCTCTTCGTCATCTACTTCGTCGCCCCATAATCTTTTAGGCTCCGCCACCGCCGGTTGTTTGCCCTCGGCGGTGGAAGTGGTGGTGGATTCAGTAGCGTCCGCCATTAGGAAGATCGATAGCAGAATAAAGTTGCGCGAGGGAAAGAACAAAAAAAAAAAAAATACAGTGGCAGAGCGTCTGGCAGTTGAAGGTTGGGGTTATTTAATTTTTATAGTGTATGGGTTTCCTCTGATTAATTGATTGATTAGCTTAATATTCAAGCGGTGAAGTTTGATTAGCTTAAATTTCAAGCTGTTGTGGCGGTTAATCGAGTGTGAAGCGGTAAGTTTTTACAGTCTGCCAGTGCCAGGGAAATTTCTTTAGAGTCGGCCTTTTTTTTTTTTTTTTTTTGCATTCGTGTATTTTTTTATTAAGCAGTAAAGGTGTCATTAGACTTTTCAGTACCTTAAAACTAATTTTTCTCTTACCAGGATTAATAGATATTTCTCAACGCACGACATTATATATTTTGATAAAAAAAATTTAAAAATACTTATTATAAGATTTAAATTTTAAATCTAATTTATAAATTAATATTTATTTACCATCGAAGTACCATTTAGTTCAAAAGTGGTGACGTTTGGATCCATTCGTGTATTTATGACGGAAAAAAAATTGGAAACCTTTCCTTTAATTTGAACCTAAAATATGCTGTAGGAGCAAACGATATAAGGCGATATCTCAATTAATTTTTATTTTAATTTTATATTCACGGTTTTTTAAAAACAAAAATATAGAATTTAAATAAATAAGGGAAACAAAAATGCAAGATACATATATCACCATAAATACTAATACGAACTATGACACCACTCTAAAAAACCTTGAAATAAATTGATCCGCTATTTGGAATCAATTATTTTGCTAGTGGATTATAGATTAGTTCATCTAGTTTTACAAAACAAATAAATAATTTTTTTGTTTCAAAAATTAATTATTAAATTTCTTAATTAGTATTGATCATAATTATTTTAATATACTTTATTTAAAAAATATATCTTTTTATTCTCATTGAATTTTTTATTTATTAAAATAAAAAATCAAAACAAATTAAACATGAATGAAAATGTTTAAGTTACAAATAGATTTAAAATTATAGAAGTTAATTAATTAGTTGTTGAAACTAAAAGACTATTTAATTTCTTTTAAAAACAAAAAAAAATATTTGTTTGTTATTTTTGCAAAAAAAAAAAATAGAAAAAAATTGCAATACATTTCTAAAAAAAATAAAAAAACTAAGTTTTTTTTGTTTATTTACAGTAGCACTTTTTTTTTTTTAGGGCTAGCCAGCAATCCAGCCTTGGAGAAACGAGCTCAAGTAGGCTTGGCCTAACTCATAGGCTTGCACAAGCAATCCCAACCTACATTTGCTTCTTTTTTTTCTTCCAATAATTTATTTTTATATTTTTTTATCATGAAATTAGATATGAAAAATATATAAAAAAAAATCATTATTATTTTTTAGTTTTACATACAATTTGATAGTAACATAATATATATATGATATTTTTTAAGATTTTAATTCGAACATATATATTTAATTATATTATTTTTATTATTTAAAATTTATTTCTTCAATTGTTTGTTTCTTATTAAAATTCTCATCGAATTAATTTTTTAATTTTATTTGTTAATAAATTTGATTTTTTATATATAAATTTTGAAATAAAATTTTAAAATATGATTATTTTATTTTTTAAAATATATTATTTTAATCTACACGATTGATTATTTTTATGATTTTTGAATGAAAGTAGCATAATGCATATATAAATTCCGATGAAAGGGAGAGAGCTAAAATTGTGTTTTAGATAATTTGACTTAATTTTTTTAAAAAATAATAATCAATTGAAAAAATAATTCAACTCAATTTTTTTTAAAAAATTAATAGTTAGTTAAAAAATTCACGGTTTATATATATATATAATCGAATTTATCAAAACTAATTTTATAATAGTTTTTATTTAAATCTATTCACTTTGATACATTATATGCGATTTAAGTGGGTTTTTTAATATATTTTTTTATTTATTCTATATACTCCGAACATGCTAAGTACAATATATATATAGTTTTGTTAGAAATTAATTATATCCGCACACATAATATCAATTATTTGTTATTTATTTTTTTAATGTTCTAAAATCTATATTTTTAAATAAAATAATTTAATTAATGTTTTGAAAGAACCTCTTAATTATTCAAATATAAATTTTTATACTAATATTATAAATTATTTTGTTAATAAATATTTATAAATCAAACAAGTTCGTTCAATATATATATTCGATTTACATTAATCTCTAGAAATAAAATATCTACTCATATCACACCATACAAATCGTTAATCTTACGTGTACAATGATTATTTGATCACAGCGTAACGTGAATATATTTATAACTAGTGTTGAACTAAAACTCATCGCACAAACTTTCGATTAATTTAAGAAAAACAATCATCAATCAATGCATGGTAATAATATTTTCACTTAATGAAAAGAACAAATTTCTTATTTTCTCTCCTTTTAACTCGTTATTCTCTCTAATTTCATGTCTTAGAATCATAGCTAGAAGGCCAATCTCGAATGCATGATATAGGTAATTAGAGGGTTTTTTTTTTTTTTTTAAGAGATAAGAGCATCTTTGACTCGTTTAGCAGAACATACCCATACATCTTTATTCTTATGAATTTATTTTAAGTTTCCTGTTAAATTTGAATCCAATGTGATAATTAGGGGGAAAAAAACACATTTTAAGAGGAAAAAAAAAACCAACTCCCAATATAATAAGTTAATTAAGAGGGTTTTTTTTTTTTTTTTTAACTATTAAGGCAATTAGAAGCTCAAGTAAATTATAAATTAGTTTCTCTTGTTTCGATAAATAAATTAATTAGTTTTCTTCGTTTTAAAAACTAATAATTTAATTCTTGATATTTTAATTTCATTAATAATTTAATTAAATAATTAAATTATTGACACAATAAAAATGTAAGAGGCTAAATGACTATTTTTGAAAGAAAATAGATTAATTCATTCATTTTTATAAATGAGAGGGACTAATTTATAATTTACTCTTAAAATTTAAGGATAGATTTGAGGAGCATTTATGTTATGTTAACCTATTTTGAGATTTAATGGACGACGGCATAATAAATTGGTTTCCTCCATTATACAAAAATAAATAAATAAATCCCCAAATGCAAATTGATAAGGTCCAACACTTTCAGCAAGTTTAAAACGACGCGTTAGAGGCTTGTATGTTGGCGTCTAAACTCTAAACTCATACTTCCCGACAACGCTCCATTAGAATAGAATAAATACTGAAAAACCCTAAACCCTCTTCTTCTAGCCACCTCCTCCAATGGCAGACCTCAAACTCTCTGATACTCGAGACCTAACAAGAATCGAGCGCATAGGCGCTCACTCCCACATCCGCGGTCTGGGGCTTGACTCAGCCCTTGAACCACGCGCCGTCTCTGAAGGAATGGTGGGACAGACCTCAGCCCGCAAAGCCGCCGGTGTCATCCTTCAAATGATAAAAGAAGGAAGAATCGCAGGTCGAGCCGTTCTTATCGCGGGTCAACCCGGAACTGGTAAAACCGCAATCGCCATGGGCATGGCAAAATCTCTAGGTCTTGAAACCCCATTTGCGATGATTTCCGCCAGCGAAATATTTTCTCTTGAAATGTCGAAAACCGAGGCTTTAATGCAGTCGTTTAGGAAAGCGATTGGGGTTAGGATCAAAGAAGAAACCGAGGTGATTGAAGGTGAAGTTGTGGAAATTCAAATTGATAGGCCAGCAGTAGCTGGTGCTGCTTTAAAAACAGGGAAATTGACTATGAAGACGACGGAGATGGAAGGGGTTTATGATTTGGGAGCAAAGATGATTGAGAGCTTGGGAAAGGAAAAGGTGCAGAGTGGGGATGTTATTGCTATTGATAAGCCTTCTGGGAAAGTTACTAAGCTTGGTAGGTCATTTTCGAGGTCGAGGGATTATGATGCTATTGGACCGCAGGTTAGGTTTGTTCAGTGTCCTGATGGTGAGTTGCAGAAGAGAAAAGAGATCGTGCATTGTGTCACACTTCATGAAATTGATGTCATTAACAGCAGGTACTTCCATGGAATTATTTCTGTGTTTATGTTTCTTTGGTGATATATTTCATTAGTATTAGGTCATGTCATCCATAGTTACAGTGTTGTTTTGGTTTGTTGTGATACTTGCGGAACTATGGAGCTCTACGTTAAGTTAACCAAGAATTTGTAAACGTTCACAATTTTGGTCAATATTAGACCCCATATTCTGTCTTGAGTAGATTTCTTATCAAATTCCAACTTTATAACATGGCTAGAATTATAGCCTTAAGAATGTTGGTGATGTTGGGTTGATGAGATGTTGATAGAACTACTGCCTAGCACTCTGGTGAATAAAACTTTCCTGGCCTCTGTTAGCTCTAATTCTATTATGTTTTTAGATGTTGGAAGGTGAATATTTGAGATCACATGTTGCATGAAAGAAACGGATGACAAATGTTTGGAGAAATAACAAAAAATGAGAATTTAGAGGAGTTATCTGCCAGTGTGTTCACACGTAGAGAAACAAGGGCACTAACATGAGATTCCTTAGAGTGTAATTTGCAAAATAAATTAATCACGTATTATGATACTGTATCCTTTGTGATCCTTGTGAATTTTTTTTTTTTTTGGCATCCAACATGAAGATTCTCTTTCTTAGGATTCTTAACTAGTACATATCCTAAGCCTTTGCTCAAAAAGAAAAAAATATATCATAGAGATGCATTTTGTTTGCTATTATTTGGAGCCCTTGGATGGAGAGCAATTACATATTTTCAGGAACCCTCGAGGTAGTTATTGAGGGATATAATTGTTTCTGTGGCATAACTGTTTCTGTAATACATTTGTTTATGTGGCTTGCCTTATGTTTTTGTACTTCAGGGGCAGTTTCATGGGTATCTATGGTGATATTGCTCTCTTTCCTTCCAATTTAAGTTTAATGGAAATAAGTTGGCCATGTAGTTGTAATTCAGATTCATCATTGCCAGCATATTATTTGTTTCATTTTATCACCTCTTATTGTTCTCCACTTGTAGAACACAGGGATTTCTGGCTCTCTTCACTGGTGATACTGGTGAAATCCGTGCAGAAGTAAGGGAACAAATTGACACAAAAGTGGCAGAATGGAGAGAGGAAGGCAAAGCAGAGATTGTGCCGGGCGTTCTCTTCATCGATGAGGTGCACATGCTTGACATTGAATGCTTCTCTTTCCTGAATCGTGCCCTTGAGAATGAGATGGCTCCAATATTAGTTGTTGCCACCAACAGAGGGATTACCACCATACGAGGAACAAATTACAAATCTGCACATGGGATTCCAATAGATCTCCTCGATCGCCTACTTATCATTGCTACTCAACCTTATACAAAGGATGACATTCGCATGATTCTGGACATCAGATGCCAAGAAGAAGATGTAGAGATGGCTGAAGAGGCAAAGGCTCTGTTGACTCATATTGGGGTTGAAACTTCCTTGAGATATGCTATCCATCTAATTACTGCTGCTGCATTGGCATGCCAGAAACGAAAAGGAAAGGTTGTAGAGAGCGAGGACATCACTCGAGTCTACAATCTGTTTCTGGATGTGAAGAGATCAACACAATACTTGATGGAGTATCAGGAGCAGTACATGTTTAATGAAGCACCAATTGGAGATGGTAACGAAGATGGCACCAATGCCATGCTTTCTTGAAATTTTCTTAGAGATGTAGATTTTTGTGGTTCCTCTTGTTTCCTTCTTTATTTATAGTAATAGGCAGCGCTAAACTTCCAACCTGAACATGTTATTATGCTTTTCCTTTCTCCAAGTGTTTAGATGCCTCTTAGCTCTTCAATGTGCAGTTATGAATTTGTGGTCTTTATTATCTGCTGCAGTCTTGAAACTTTTTCTTATGTAGAATGCATGTTTTCAGGACGCTGATATACAGGAAGAGATCCATGTTTTCCTTCTGATCTGACTCTGTAAATCGCAATCTAGCCCCATTGGCCATGTTCTACAAAGGAGTTTGAATTCAAAAGCATTACTAAACATGTACACCAGAATGGAAGGCTTGAACCATGGTAAGTGCCGGATTCTGCCTCTCAACAAAAGATGCATGTTCATGGAATAGAAAACCAGTAGAAACTAATAAGATCAAGAAAGAGCCATGACTTGTGTTTTGTGGATGGACCATAACTCAATTAACAATTCATCCGGTATCATGTTCAGAAAAATCATTCATGCGAGCAACAAGCTAGTCATACTCCCCTTCAATAAACGAAAGGTTAAGGTAAAGTTGCATCAGTTGAGATTAGTTTTTGTGCATTATGACCGTTCCGCCTTCCATATTCCACCAAAACTAGGGAATTTGTAAGAATTTAAACCCTGTTAACCAAGACGATATCTTACCCCCACGACCTTCAAATATATCCTTTAGTTGAGCAAATCTTTGTAATTGAAAGCCTTGCCATGAATTACAAATAACAGGCAATCCGCACAAAATAATTTGTCATGGTGGAAACAGAGTCGCAATCCAAGCAACGAAGAGGTGTATTTGTCTGGACTCACTGTTACTGGTTCTCCTTTTTACATTTAATTTAACGCCCCAATTATTGTAATGAGCTGGGCCAGTCTGAGCAACATACTTTTTTTGGAATTTCAACAATCAAAGTAAAGTTAATTCAGTGCCATCCTTTTTTAATTGTTCTTCGAGTATGTTTATAGTAAATCATAAACCAAAACTATACAATCTGCAACATCTATTGATCTGTCACTTCCTTAGCAATTCTTAGGATTTCTATTGATCCTTTTTTTTTTTCGGTTGTTTGAAAGGCATTTTTCGCCGTAAAAATGACCAAAGAGTTTATTGGAGATGGAGGGTAAACCAAAATATGAGACTTCAAATCATTTTTTTTTCCTTACGAAGAGGGCACGTGGACAGTCCAAAATCTATTTAAATAAATAGGATTAGAAGCATCTATTAAATCCTAAACTAAAAACTAAAATGGGTAAGAATAGGATCTTTTATATGCTTTATGCGTAAAAGCGATCCTTAGCAGCGATGTTCGTCATAAAAGGAAAGGAGAAGAAAGATATTTAGAAATGCCTCGTTACGAAACAAATTTCTTGTACCATGCGGACAGAGGAGTAGTGGTTGTTCTGAACCTTTTGCTTAAATCAACCTATGATCATGATCAGATCAACCAGTTTAATCAAGGTTTCTTTAATCCCTACAGATCTGATATGTTCCTTCCATGGAAAGAAGAAATTTATCAAAATTAAGGCAACAATACATATCATTTTCATGCTCGTAGAAACCAATTCCCAAAGCCCAAAAGTGGCTTGCATATAACAGATCGAGCTTCCATTTGCCAACATATCCTATCAATGCCGTAAAGCTCTCCTGATCTTCCTTTTTTCCTTTTTTTTTTCGTTTATTTACTAGACGTTTATGGGTTTTTAAGGTCTTTTTCTTACATAATAAAAAAATAAATAAAATTAGTACTCGAACTTTATTTTATTAAAAAAAAAAACTAGCCGAAGAGAAGCGTGGTTGCGTATCTTTCCTATTTCTTCTGCTTAACCTTACAAGCAAGCACCGATTTTTTTTTCAATTGTCAAACATGTAAAAGCACTCAATTTCTTGTTTAATTTAGTCAGATTAATTTATGGTGATTTTTAGTATTTGTGTTGACGTGGGGGTGGGGTTAACGTTTCAGGGTGCATATGGTCACCATCATTGTTGTCCCCTCCATGCACGTATCTCATCTCTCTTCAAATTATGAGAAGCTTCTTCCTCCTTTCAACTTGTATTAATTTCTATTATTTTACAACATGGAATACGACCTTTGAACTACAAAGGAGGGAATAAAGATTAACGTTTCACGTGAAAGAAAGGATGTTCTCCTCCTAGTGAATAAAGCGAGTCTAAACAACAAAAACAACCATATTTTATTGTGAAAAATGTGGAGGCGGGTGAGAATCAACTTTTAGTAATTAGAAAATTAACCTTTTTTAGATCGTCACCTTTTAACTGGGTGCGTTAATTAGTATTAAATTATTAAATGATTGATTGTGAAGGCTTCTTTATCGAGTATGTCATACTGCAAACCAAACTTAAATTCCGCAATGTCTCTCGCCGCAAATTAATTCTCAGCGAATAATTAGTGTAAGAAATCATACACGATTACTCATCAGAATTATTTAAAATAAAAAAAATAATTATTTAAATAAATAATTTTTATTTATATAATTGTTTTAAAATTTTGTATTCGTTTTGTGTATGTAATCAAACAAAGAAGAATTAATATAAATATCTGAACTTGAAATATTCTGTGAAGATTCAAAAAAAAAAGATGGTACATTAATGAATCCTTACTTGCCTAGACTATGTCCGTTCATTTCTCTTCACTTTATTAGCTGAATGAAATCCTTTTTCACCTTGAAAGCTCGATGGTACTTTAACAACTGTTTAGGAATCTTAGAGAACTAGTCTTGTGATATGGTTTAAAAGGCCGATTAGACCTCCTACCTACCTACCTACTTTTCATAAGGCAGTTAATTAAGATTCAACCAGACACATTTAATTTTAATTTTTTTTTAACGTTTATTGGGAGGCCCAATTTATTGAATTTAGAATATGCAATTAGAATTAGTAATTCTCTTCGTTTCTAAAATAAACTTCCAAGTAACTTTAAAAAAAAAAAAAATCCAAGTAGAGTATCTCTTGGAGCTAATGGGAAAAATAATAATATACAATAAACTGATAATAATAATAACAATAATAATAATCTCTTTCGTCCATCCTAATATCAATGATAGTGCTAGATCCTCGATAAGAGTTCAATAAAAATAAAAAGACAGCCTATATCTACCAAAGGTGGTACGTGGAGATGATATAATTAAAAATATCAAAGATTTTATCATTTCTTAACATAAATAATTTAAACTTTTCCATGAAAATCTTATACCTCTAAAAATAGGTTTATTTCGTCAATAATTTATTGATTATTTGTGAAAAAAAACTATCCAGATTGAAAAAAATTTCTGATGGTAGACTTGGTTAAAGTCATTATGCCTCGTATTCTAGGTATTGTCTAGAGCTATTCCTTTATTGAGATCAACATAAGACTGAAAATAGACAAGATCCCAAATCAGACCGTTCAGCACCATTAGCATAATAATTAGTATAGTTTAGGATTTAGAATTTAATGTTAAGCCTATCTCATAATGCTAAATTTCTCTACAATTGATGGATTTAAATTTACTACCAAATAAATTTCTTTCAATGTCTTAAACAATCTTATAGACATCAACAATTTTTTTTTTTTTTTTTTTGGTATTGATCAACTAATCTAGAATTACCAATTGGTTGCATCTATCATCAAATTATCATAGCCTATTTTATCATCATATCAAATGGGATCTAAGAAGTGACTTCCAAGTCTTACAAGCCTTGTGGTCAGTAGGACCAGAACATTGATATCATAAGAACACGAGAGATCACTATTGAAGGTATAATCATATAATTTTATTAACAAATCAACAATAGAACAAAGTCTCATTTATTCTTAATTAGGATATAATTAGATCTTATAGATAAAAGAGTTTACAAACACTATAATACCAATATAAATTATATATAATAGGAGAACACGTTATAATTTTGTAATGTTAAAATATAAACACCAGTGCCTGATATCTAATAATTTATTAAGTTTTATTTTTTCTCTATTTGTTTTTCGAAAGTCTTTAATTAAAGATATTTACTAAATATTAATAATAAAAAAATAAAAAAATATTATTGTGATATTTTTTATATCTATTTTCATTTTATACTCACAATTTAAAAAAATTTCTTTTATTTCCTAGTTAAAACAACTACTCATATGCGTTGCGATGAAAATAAAGGTAAGCTTTTATTTGGAAAAAAACAACAGTGTCTGGGGAAGGTGCGCACTTTAAGACGGTGGGTCCTATCATTTGACGATCTGAACCTTGTTATTTTTTTCTACCATGTCGGTTGTCAATAGTCCGATTTCATTTACTATTTGTTTTTTCAAAGGCTATTTTCTAAAATTTTTTTTTCGAAAATTAAATTCTTCTTTAATTGATATTACAATTTATGCATTTATGGAATCATATTTTTTTCTTTTGAATTTAAACCGAATGTAATTGCTCATGAATATAATTATTAATGTCTAATTTAAAATAAAAAATCTTAGTAATTTGTTTTTATGATGTTGGGGTTGTGGCACGAGGAATTAAAAAAAAACTATAAATTTAACTTTAATTAATTAAATAACTAAAGAATTGCAGCCACCATTAGCTAGGCTACAGTTACACTCACAACCACCGTCCAAATTTCCAAACCAACTTTTTCTTTTTCCAACGTAAAGCCTGCACCTTTGATGATGCATTTTGTACTAGTTGTGGTCAAGAAAGGCGTGCGTTATACGCACCGTACTATCTGGTAGATTGATAATGAGGGAAAAAATAATAATAAAAATAGACCAGGAAATTCCAAATTGTCAACCGGAGTCCACTCTGCATACCTGTATAGCGTGGATGGATGATGGATTGTTTGTGGTACGTAGTTTCCGTGCAATTTTTCTATTATTAATCGCTAGTTAAAAATATGAAGAAAAAATCTCACTTATAATAAGAACCAATACGTAAAAAAATAGATCTTAGTTAATTTTGACAATTGTTTTTACTGTTTTATTTGGTTACTTATTTTTTGGGTTACAGTACTTTGTTATTTAATGTGTGCCTTTATGACTTGCAATCAAATTTGTTAACTATTGAGAGGATGGCTCGACTTTATCTTTTCCAAGCTCCATTAGAACAACATGACCTTTACTTTTAGGTACCCAGTTTAAACCTAGTCTCTTATCAAATAACCAAATGCACCGATTGATAGTGCAATCCGAGCTTTGCAAGATGCAAAGAACCAAAACACATTTAGAAGCCGAAAATGGCAAATTGAATTGATCACCTTAAGGTAAACCTAATCTACTAATATTGGCAGGATCTTTCATGCTAAGTAATATAAACAAGAAAGCACTTTTTCTTTTTTTTTAATGATTGCTATGAAAACAAGTTCAAGGAACCTCAAATGAGTGAATTATCCTTTTGCTCATTGGTTTTGAATGCAAAGATAGCTTAGTCCTTCGTGTTTCAAAATTTACATGTTAGTCCTTGATTCTCGTTAGTTGTTTTCCTCCAAACTCTCACCATGTTGTTTTTTTTTTTTTTTAAGAATTTAAATCATAAAGTAATAAATTTTTAATTAATAAAAAACCAACAAACGTTTCAATAAAAATACGATCAACCAGATTATTATAGGTATTTCAAATATGAAGGACTAAGATACAATTGCGTTGGAAATCCAGGGCGTAAATAGTAATTTTGGTAACCAAAATGGCCGAATCAGCCAACTCAGCTTTCCCTGTAACTTGTTAGTCACAAGTTAATACAATTTTGAAACAAACAATTAAGCTTCCTCCTGTTACTTGTAATCATAATTTTGAAATCACCATCCCTCTCTCTCTCTCTCTCTCTCTCGTGTCACAGTCCTGTCCTGTCCTGGCCGAGTCCACTTCTTTCTCTTTCTCTCTAAATGCGCAAAAGCAAGAACCATAACAACCAAGAACAGCACCTCTTCGATCTCTTTCTTTAACACTCTCCAAGAAACAAGAGAACCAACAAAAAAATGCGGGGTTTATGGCCCCCTCTCTTCATCATTATACTGTTATTACTGATGTCCGTGACGGTAGTTTACTGTGCTAGTCTTCTCCAACTGGAGAGGGCTTTTCCTTTAAACAACCACGGTCTTGAACTCCACCAACTCACAGCTCGAGACCAGCTCAGACACCCCCGTCTTTTACAAGGCTTTGTTGGTGGCGCTGTCGACTTCTCTGTCCAAGGTTCCCCCGATCCTTACCTCGTCGGGTAATTTTATCACCATCCCCCTTTCCTAGTTTTAAGGTTTCATTCTATGGTTTAATTGCATTCTTTAAGTTAACAAGTTTCGTTTCGGTGCTATTTGATGAATTTACAGTGATGGGTTTTCCTTAGAATTGGTAAATTTGTATTTATTGGGCTTTTATGTTTTCCATTTCTTGCTCACATGCACTCACTTAAAGTGAACTTGTGGTGGATATTGCTTATTATTCTTTCTAGAAGTTAAGCAAAGGTAAGGAAAAGAAAGGAAATGGGATTTTTGTGGATGCTGGTTTAATTATTTTCAGTAAAGATTGATTCTTTTCTTTTGTTTGTAACCAAAAAGATTGATTTTGTTGTTATTTATATTGTATGCGTAAATTATTATTGTTGACTAATTTTGCTGTTCTTTCTTTTTGGGTTTCCATTGCAATCAGGGTCACAGGAGCTTCAGAGCCCTTGTAATATATCTGTCTCGGTTCTCTTCAATTTTTTGTGCTGTTCCACATTCTCTTTAGAATGGAATTTGCTAACTAGTAATTTTTTTTGTACTTGATGATTTTAGGCATTGATATTCTTTAATTCTTGGTTTTTTTGTGTTTAGACTTTATTTTACAAAAGTGAAATTGGGCTCTCCTCCTCGAGAATTCAATGTGCAGATTGATACTGGAAGTGATGTCTTGTGGGTTTGCTGCAATTCCTGCAATAATTGCCCGCATACTAGTGGCCTTGGAGTAAACCCACTTTCTGTACCCTGTCATTAGTCTTTCTATACATATGCAGAATTGCAAAATTAAGCTTCAGCTTCCCGTGGTACTTTCTTTGTGTTTTGCAGATTCAGCTCACTTTCTTTGATTCCAGCAGCTCATCAACTGCTGGGCTGGTCCGCTGTTCAGACCCAATCTGCACTTCAGCAGTTCAAACCACAGCAACTCAATGCTCTCCTCAGACTGATCAATGCAGTTATACATTCCAATATGGAGACGGAAGTGGGACATCGGGCTATTATGTGTCCGATACACTTTTTTTGATGCTATTTTTGGGCAGTCACTGGTTGCTAACTCTTCAGCTCTCATTGTCTTTGGGTAGGTTTTCTAATTTGTACTGTCGTACTAGAATGGGGTGCGTTCAGTTTTTCGTGATTGACAATGATTATTTGTTGAAAGAGAAAGGGATTGCTGGAAGACTAAAAAAAATGAAGCTGAATATTATGCTTAATTGTTGTTGTGAAATATATAATACACAGTGAATTCACGTAAGAGAATGGTATTTTGCTGCAACAATGACTACATGACAAATCAGTCACTACCTGGTGCTACATGATCATAACCAGTTGACCAATGGCATGAGCTTATGGTAATTATTCCAATGCTTTGACAGCAAGGGCCATGTTCTCCCAAAACACTCACACGTAATGCTGTAAAATAGCTTCTTGTTGCTGAACTACTTGAATGAGTTATTGCCATTTCATTATTGGTGGTGTTAACCAACAAACTTAATTGATCCCAAGTGATAAAAAACTGCAAGTCCCCCTTGCGACAAAAAATGAGTCGTGTTCTTCCTTACCCTTCATCTATCTCTTATTGTCCCATTTGAATGAGTTTCTTTTGTTCCTAGATTGAACTGCCTTTTTGTATGTTACTTATCTCTCTAGATGGTGGTGTTCAAAACAGTTGCAGTACCTACCAGTCCGGGGACTTGACTAAGACTGATAAAGCAGTTGACGGGATTTTTGGATTTGGCCAGGGAGAACTTTCTGTTATATCACAATTATCAACCCGAGGGATAACACCCAGAGTGTTTTCTCATTGCTTGAAAGGAGAGGGCAGTGGAGGTGGTATACTGGTTCTCGGTGAGATTCTGGAGCCAGGCATTGTTTATAGCCCACTTGTCCCATCACAGTATGTCATTTTTCCCTTGGAACCTGTTCTTTCTTCAACAGCCTAACTTCTTTAACTTGTCATCCTTGCTTTGTCTAAACACAACAACTGAATTTTATTGCCTGCGTAATGTCAAGGCAATGGGTCACACTTAGATATAGCACACAGATCCTTAAGAAAAAGATTTTTTTTTTTTTTTTACTAGCATCTTATTGTTATGTGATAAGATATTTTCTTCTGCAGTAGTCACTTGTATGTTACTTTTACTTTTAGCTAGGCTACAATATACTGCTGGTGTTTAGGAGTAGACAAGCACTTCACAGGCTTTATTCAGATGGTTGCATATTTGGGATACCCTTTTAGAGTAGTACCAAGCCCGATTTGCTTTTAGGATTTCTCATGTTGGGTAGGAATCTTTCTAGGTATTTAAAGTGGTTACAGAAATTGGATATTTTCAATACGAACAAGTCCAGTGGAACATTTCTGAGCAGATCCGGAGAAGATCTGGATTTTGAATATTGGGAATCATGGAAACTACTTCCATTACATTAAGGGTCCCTTTCTATTTTAGGAGACTTTAAATGCTGAAGAACCTTTCAAAAACTTAAAGATTTGTTACATTTTATCACCAAATCTGCTTACCATCACCCACCTCTTTTATGAATTTTATTGCTATGTTGCAGAACCATTTTTTTTTTTTAAAAAAAAAATTCGCATTCCTCAGCCTATTGCTGTCTGGCATCTTTAGTTTGATTTTGAACAACACTAATTTGCTGTGCGTTTGCTTTTAAAAATTTCCAGGCCTCATTATAATTTAAATCTACAAAGCATTGCTGTTAATGAGCAATTGTTACCAATTGATCCAGCAGCATTTAGAACATCGAATAGCCGGGGAACAATTGTTGACTCTGGAACAACTTTGGCGTACCTTGTGGCAGAAGCTTATGATCCTTTTGTTAGTGCTGTGAGTAATTTTCCTTGCTATACACGTCGCCTTTGAGGCAAAAGTTCCTGTTATAATAAATAATAGTTGCAGCTGAGAGAAATGAGCTTTAATGTATTATTCTTAACAATCTTGTGCTAATCTGACATTGATTTTTTTTTTCCCCATAATTTGAAATGCATCGGTTAATTATGAATCCTTCCATATGATTGACATAACGATAGCTACTTTATATAGAAGAACCTTGTTTCATAAGTTCACGACAAGACATTTTATGAGAATGCAACTCGTTAAAATATTAATAGGGTCTCGTTCTTGTTCTCTGTGTTTGTGTTGCATGAAGCAACTCTTCATATTATGTAGGGAGCCATTCTGGTTTTTTGTGCGTGTCCGCCAAACATGTGTCCAAAGTAACTACATCTTCTCAGTCAATTCATATTTTTGCAACTCACAAATACAGAGCGGACAAATAAAGTAAAATACAAAGAATGTAAGCTGCTTTGTTTTATCCACATGCAATTTCTTATACTAATAAGCTTTTTCTGAAAAAATTAAAAAGAATTATTTCGAGTTCTCCCAATTTGGTGATTTTCAAGATCTGGTTTTGAGCTGTTTAATATTGAGATAAAAATGGTAGTGTGGAATGTAGCAAAGTATTGAATTAGAATAATTAAAACAATCATATAAATTTTACGTTCAGGATGCTTAAGTTTACTTGTTTGATGAATGTCCAGGTGAATGCTGTTGTCTCACCATCTGTTACTCCTATCGTATCTAAAGGAAACCAGTGTTATCTTGTCTCCACCAGGTTCGTTCTTAGATTTTATTTTCCAAATGATGTTTTTGCAGTTAGGTTACACCACATGAAGGTTTTCTTTCTAGCTTTTGTTTTCCCTTTTTTCTTCCACAAGAACTAAATTGGAATACCTTTTTTTTTTTTTAATTCTATGCAGTGTATCTCAGATGTTTCCCCTGGCCACTTTTAACTTTGCTGGGGGTGCATCCATGGTGTTAAAACCAGAAGACTACCTTATACCTTTTGGTTCCAGTGTAAGTTGCTGCTCTTCACTCTGGCTAAGTTATTCATTTTCCCATCAGTATTGAACTGGACATGTTTCTTCAGAATATATATGCCACTGTCACTGAATGAATCGTAACAGGCGCACCATCTCTCTCTCTCTTGCTCTTTCTTCTGTTGCAGGGTGGTTCTGCGATGTGGTGCATTGGTTTTCAGAAAGTTCAAGGAGTAACTATCTTAGGAGGTTAGACCCTGGACTTTAGCTTCTTTTATTGACATGAGTATAGCTGGGGTGAGGCTTAACTTTTTTCTCCTCATCAACTAGTCATAATGTCAGTGCTCGAGGGTGGGTAGGATATGAAGTAGGTCGGGACTTTTATAAAACACCCACAACTTTATAGGGGCAAACATAAGATTTTATTAATTAAAAATAACTAAAGGACTACAGTGTAAAGTCAAAAAAATTGAGGGGTCTTGGCCCCCTCCCAGCCATGCTACCTGCCACCTCTGCATATTCCAGTAGTGCACCTTTGGTGACATTTCTTTTGCTTTTCATGGTTGCCATTCATTGCATCATTACTTTTTCATAATGCCTTTTACAAGGATATGGACTGGCTGAACGCTTACTGGGTTGGGATTGTCCCAAATTCGGCTCTCTTCTAATGTAATTATATTTGTACAATAAGCCACTTCAACTTACAAATCTCGTGTTACTGAGCTAATTAACTCCTGGGTGTCTCAATGCATCTATGCACACCTCTTTGCCTTATTAAAATATGTGAGTTTAATAATCTTGTTGCTTGCTTTGGCTTGCAGATCTTGTTCTGAAAGATAAGATTTTTGTGTATGATTTAGTACGACAACGGATTGGTTGGGCTAACTATGACTGTAAGTTCAATAAACTATGATGGTTCAGTGAACTCCTTTTCTAACTCCATCCTCCAGCTCTGATACATTTAAATTCTTTCTGTCAGGTTCTTTATCTGTAAATGTTTCTGTAACTTCTAGCAAGGACTTCATCAATGCAGGACAACTGAGTGTGAGCAGCTCATCAAGGGACATCATGCTCTTTGAGCTGCTACCTCTGATTTTTATGGTTCTCTTGATGCACATATTACTGTTGAACTTTAAACTTTTGTAATCTAAACCTCAACTTTAAGTTCCATTCTTTGTTCAGTCTTCAGTGTGCGTTGGCTTGGCTGGTTTTTATTTATGTTGACCGGCAAGGCAGCATCGTGCTGTTTATTTGGATTGCAGAGGTAGCAGTTTCTTGTTACATAATTCTTCTCGAGTTCTGGTGATTGGAGCTCTTCTATTCTTCTGGTGGGAACTCTTTTTCTTGTAAAGGATCCTCCATGTTAAGCAGTTCAAGAATTGTAAATTGTCTCGACATTGGATTAGGTGTTGTATCAGTGTAATCTTTACCATTCGAAGTAGAATAGACATCCTTTTTCCTTTTTCTTTTTTCTTTTTTTCTTTCCTTTTCCCCCAGTGAAAAGTTAGCTGAAGTTAGTTGCTGTTTTTGAGATGTTTAAACTTTAATGATACTAAAAATGATAGTCTGCAACCTAGCGAGTATTTAAAAAATTTGCAGTTTCTGTAATAGCAATGCTGCTACTAATATTGGCATTTGTGAACTTTTTCTTTGAGTCAGAAAAGGTATATGCTTGTATTGAAATGTTCTATTCTTTATTTTACAGAATGGGATTTTTTTTTTTACTTGAAAAAGAAAATTATGTATTTTATTTCCATACGGATCTTCACTAATAATTCCATAGAAGAGCTGGAGAAACTCTTATTCTAGTAGCAATCAGTGCCAACATCACTAGGGAGTAGGCACTAGCACGACTTGCTTTCTCTTTTATGTCTCTTTCAGGCCAGATTTTAATTTCTGATGGTATCTTGAAGTTGAAAGTTACAATTTGTTGCAGAATTTCATTTGGACGTTAGAAAGAGCTAGGAATAAAAACTGTGATTGTGCGGTTAAAGAAAGCTCATAAATGCAAAGATGAGGTTACAAACAAAACTAGTAGTAATGGCAGCAATAGTTTGCCTTCCTCTAAAATATGGCTCAAGAGGAGGCCAGGTGGGTAACAAGCTATCACAAAGACTTAAAACACGGAGTTGGCAACAAAATTTCGTTACAGCTTCAAGCCCTTCTGGTTTAATTTAAACAGCTGCCACGATCAAGGAATCTGATTCAATTGTAACAAGAGAAACCTATCAGCTAGCTAGCTCACTTTAGTCTAGAATCACCATTTGAGGTTGTTCTTGCATCTTGTCAGCACGTACGGGTTTAACCCAAACAGCTGCTTGTGCTCACTCCGTTTCGAAAGGACCCTCACATGAATAATTGGAGTAAAACGAAGGATACTTCCAAGTATTAAGAGAGTAGAAAACACCATGTGTTCGGAAGTTGTAATTTTTGCTCTGTAAAAGGATTAAAGAAAAGTTCCCTACGATCATCCCGAGTCATGAGCAGCCAGACAGAATTTGCGCAGCGGATGTGAGCTCCCACCATTTCTGGAATATCCATATGATAAATTTGGTTGTACATTGGATGATGGAATTTCCATGTAGTGTCAGTCATCTATGCATCCATGCATCAACAAGGAAGAGTGAGACTGCACAAAATCAGACATTGATAGTGCCAAAGCTACATAGTCATTGTAAATTACATTCCAAAAGCTATAAATTTTATCATTTATCCAAGTGTCTACATTTCTCAATTTTAACATTTTATTAACTTCGTTTAATAGTCTAATTTGAATGTGTATATTTTATGTATAAAAAAAATTCACAAAAAAATTAATGAATATTAATAAAAGTATCAATTTGATAATTTTTTTGAAATGTTTGAATCAAATTAATAAACTTTTATAGGTTTGAGACTTAATTGAAAATAAGTATATAGTTCGGGACTAAATTGAGCTTTCGTCAAAAATCGATAACTACCGCCATCAATTTGGTCATTGGTTCAACTAAAAACGACATTCAATCCATCAATTTCCAAACAAAAAGCTCCAGTCGGCACCCTATCCATCCCTGCCGCATCGCTATGGGTAGCAAGAGGAGGGAAACGTCGTCGTCTCGAAGAAGGAGAAAATCCTACGACTCTGAGTCCGACTCGATGTCCTACTCTGACGACTCACGCGACTCGTCCCCGAGGAGGAGCTCCGGCAGGCGTCGAGAACGTAGTCGTAGCCGCAGCCAAGGCAGAACTAGTCGTCGGCATCGGAGTTATGATGATTCCAGCGATAGTGATCGCGATCGAAAGAAGAAAAGCTCTTCGCGGAAGATTACTGAGGAAGAAATTGCAGAGTATCTGGCTAAAAAGCTCAGAGAAAGGTATTCATTTTGTTTCCTTTCGTTGATTTCTAGGTTTTTTTTCTCTTCTTTTCGTAGTTAAGCTATGGTTTTTCATAATTTATGTACTATTTTGTAGGCTATGAATGCAGCAAAGAAATTGAAGGCGCAGTCCGTTTCTGGTTATTCTAATGATTCTAATCCATTTGGTGATTCTAATCTCAACGAAAAGTAAGTTTTATTTTTTATTTTTTTATATAATCTTTTTGCTTGCAACTGTGTTGGTTTCGTTTTAATTTGCTTGTTTGGTAAATCTGTATTCTTTTAGTTTGGAAAATACATGAGAGTTAAGTATAATTAGTTTTGATAGTGCTTGATTTTATATATAATTCAATCACAACAGTGAAATTGACCGTGGCTAATTTAGAGTGACTACTTGTTTAACTTAAAGGCGCCTATACTAATAATTTTAGCTGTTGTTGCAATTCTGATTTCAATCCAATCCGATAATCGCAACACTGGAAATTGATTTATATTTGTAGCTATTTGTACATGAAACGACCCTTTTTAATTGTTTGAAGATAAGAGCGGCAGGGAGTGTTTGTCTCAATTTGAAGAAATAAAGTAGTTCGAATGATAGAACTAGGTACCTTTAGATTTTCAAGACGTGAACCACTTGCTACAGTTTGCTTCTAAAGGACTGTTGATACTTTCATCTCGCTTTGGGGATTTGAACCGAGTAAAATTATGAACTTCAGTTAATTTTCAAGTGTTCCTTTTGGTTTGTTTTGATTGAGTTTAAATCTAATCATGCCAGCTTTTACATCTCATCTTAAATAGATGGACGTTCTAGCGTTGCTTGGGCAAAATCACAATTCTTATTCTATTAGTTCTTTTTCCATAAGAAAAAAAATCAAGGACAACTTATATGAATCTATGCAACTCTTTGACTTCATTCCGTATCCCTTCTGCCTGTCTGCCCTGTCTTATAAGCTAAAACAACTTATGTAGTTAATTCAATTGCAGATTAGAGGCTTAAGTTTCACCATTTTATTTTATGTAACTGGGTTATGGTGGATGAGCTGCAGATTTGTGTGGCGAAAGAAAATCGAACGTGACGTTGCCCATGGTGTGCCACTTGACATGTTTTCGGTTAAAGCTGAGAAAAAGAAGCAGAAAGAAAGGATGGTATGCATTTACAGGTTACTTAACTTGTCAATTTGATATTTACCAAATTGATTTCTTCTCTTTTCTGTCTGCACTTTCAATTTTCTTGGCTTTACTCATGTAAGGGTAGCAATATCATCCTATTGTTACTTAAAATAGAATGCGTTCATTAACAAATTAGATAACATGAGTTCTAGTATGGTTTTTAATGTGGTGGTTCGAATTAAGTAATTCTACCACCGATAAAGCAGAGATCAGAATCAACTGGATTTGCTGACCTATTTGTTCCACCTTATTATGCTCGTACAGTTAAAACACCATAGGGAAAAACTAAATGGTCGTCACTGATGCATGTGGGACTTTCTCTAGGTTTTTTATCAGTAGAAGTGGATCTGAATTTTTAGCATTATTCTGAAGAAGTGAAATATCTAGATAAGAGAAGACATGATAGCAGAATGAATAAAGAGTTGGGGAAGGGAATTATGGAGTCTATCTCGATAGACTGTGTTGATCGTGGAACGTCTGAGCTATATTGCATATTTTCCTAGTTGGAGCTTAGGTTCTTAACCTGTTGCACTTGCTGCTATGTTGTGAAAAATAACTTTTCCTTGAAGCTCTGTTGAACAACCAGCACAGTGTTTTGCTGTTTGTTCGAGTTCATGCATGATGTGGTATGCTTTTATTTAAGCCAGTGCCCCTCTTTTTCAAATAACTGAAGATTTTATTTGAAAGGAATAAAAACAGAATGGTAGCAATGAGGGTGAAGGTTTTTTCTAACAAAAGTATACCAACAAAGAAAAGAAATCATGGCAAAAGGGTTTTCCAATGCTGATGAATATCTGTTAATGGATTTCCTGTAAACACCCTTTCAGCAATATGTTTGTTATCCTTCAAAGAAGTACATATATTTTTTCTTATCTTTACTGAAGAAATAAATTTTAGTTTCTTTTCTTTTTCGAGAAAGCAGGGGTAACTCTCTTACTAGTGTAATGTTAGTGCATTTTTCTTCCTTCTGCAGCAGTACTGCTATGTAATCCCCACCCCCTCCCCCTCAAATTGGCAGTTGTTTCTCAGATTCTTTGTCTTTGCATTCAATCGTTTTCTCTTTATAGTAAGTTCATTAGTCTTCTGGAAATGTCAATTAACTGATGGAAGGCGATGGCTAAATTTTTGAATTCAATGGGGATGTGATCAATTATTTGATATCAGCCCATATTAATTTATTCACTTTTATGTTGCAGGCAGAGATTGAAAAGGTGAAAAAGAGAAGAGAGGAAAGGGCACTTGAAAAAGCGCAGCATGAGGAAGAAATGGTAAAAGTTTGATTTCATGATAAAGATGCAATTGTATTCTTAAATCTCTGCCAGAAAGAGCAATTAGATTCTTATCCTAAAATTGGCAAAGATAAAATTTGATTATTTTCTGATTTCTTTAGTTGATAAAGTTTAGATGTAGCTTGGTTCCGTAATTACATATCTTTGTGCAGGCAATCTTAGCCAGAGAACGTGCCAGGGCTGAGTTCCAAGACTGGGAGAAAAAAGAAGAGGAGGTAAGTTGCTAATTGCATTTCATATCTTGGTGCTTGTTTTTATTATTATTATTATTATTGCTTCATCATACCTCAATTGTTTTTTATTTGAGGAGTTAATTGACGTGATACGTATTTAATACACAGTTTCATTTCGACCAAAGCAAAGTCAGATCAGAGATTAGATTGCGTGAAGGGCGAGTGAAACCTATTGATGTCCTTTCCAAACACCTCAATGTCTCAGATGATTTGGATATAGAAATAGATGAACCATACATGGTTTTCAAGGTAAAAATTTAATATGTGGTTTCTTTTTCCCTTCTGCCTTGGCTCCATTTGTTACTCTCTTCTTTCTTTCATTAGTATAGAACATCATAGCAGCAACAGTTTCAGTTTAAAATGACAGCTTGTGCTCTTCAGTGTTTTTCAATTGAAGAATATTTTAGATAAGGCCAATGAACGAATGATACTATATCAGACTGCAGTTTTTATTTTTTTGCAAGTTGTTATGTGATTAATTTTCTCTAGAAAGTCAAGTGTGTGAGATCTTGATGTAAACAAGTTCACTGCACTTATTTATTCCACTTAAAATTCCTGATATATTCTGTGATTTGCAGTGAACAAGTGTTGAATATTTTCTTTTGAGTATTCATGCAGTCATTTGCCTATATGGTGCAGGGTTTGACTGTCAAAGAGATGGAAGAGCTTCGTGATGACATCAAAATGCATCTGGATATGGATAGAAAAACTCAGACACATACTGATTATTGGGAGGTACTGCTCTTTTCCTTCCTGTAGAGTGGTGCTGTGGTTGTTAAAGAGAACCATATTTATGGTAGTTGCCTTTCCAGCAGTTTCTGGAACACCTTTATGGACTTTCCACTTTGCATACCTATGATGGCTATATAATTGAATAAGAAATTTAGCCCTAGATGGATGGAAGCAGTCAAAGCTTCAAACTGGCTTCATGTTGCTGCCCCTTTGGAATCTCCCCCTCTCTTGTTATTGGTCTGTATAAATTTATGTATGTTTGATGCATAGAAGCTCAGTCTGCTTGTTATAGCTTGAACTGATTTCTCATGATCATTGATCACGAGGATATATTATTTGAATATATTTAAATATTTAGTTTCAGAAAAGGATTGAAAACCTAGAAGGCATTCTCTTGACATATTCAATTTATCAGGCACTTTTGGTGGTTTGTAATTGGGAGCTGGCTGAAGCTCGGAAAAAGGATGCGCTGGATCGGGCTAGGGTGCGTGGGGAGCAACCTCCTTCCGAGTTGCTTGCAGAAGAAAGAGGTCTGCATTCCAGTATTGAAGCAGATGTCAGGAATCTCTTGGAAGGGAAGACGTCTAATGAGCTTGAAGCATTAAGGTCTCAAATTGAGTCACAAATGAGCTCAGGCACAGCGAAAGTAGTTGAGTATTGGGAGGCTGTTCTTAAACGACTTCAGATATACAAGGCAAAGGTATTTATCACCCAAAGCTCTTTAATTTCCTATATGTTATTTGCAATACAGGCATTGGGTCTTACTGGTGAATTTATATAATCACAGGCTTGTTTGAAGGAAATTCATGCTAAGATGTTACGCAAGCATTTGCAACGCCTTGAGCCTCCATTGAAGGGTGATGATATGATGGAAAATGATAATAGTTTAAGGTTTAGCGAGGAGGATAGCGAGCTTGTTGATATCCAAGGTTTCTGCCCTTCGCCATATCTGCTAGAATAGCAATTTTTTTTTCTATCATTGGACTAAATTGGCTAATATTTATTTTTTGTGAGCAGATGCTGAAACATTCTCTCCAGAATATGTATTGGAGGAGGAGACTCATGAGGCAGAAGAGGCTGGATCATTTTCACCTGAATTATTGCATGGTGATGAAAATGAAGAAGCAATTGATCCTGAAGAGGATAGGGCTATACTGGTATTTTTTGTAACAGATTTTACATGTCTATTAATGAGCATGCTGATAATAATCTTGTTTCTTGGTTTAACTGAGGTTTTATATTTTGACAAATTAACAGGAAAGGAAACGAATGGCTGTTGTAGAAGAACAACAAAGACGAATTCAAGAGGCTATGGTATCAAAGCCACCTCCTTCAGAAGATAACTTGGAGCTGAAGGCCATGAAAGCAATGGGAGTGATGGAGGAAGGTGATGCAGTATTTGGCTCTGGTGCTGAAGTGAATCTAGATTCACAGGTGTGTTACTTCAGCCATCTCTGCTCTCTTTAGACTGAGTAAACAAAAAGAAAATGGCGGCATGCCTTGCTAACTCTTTTTAAAGTAAACAGTTCCATGGCACGTGCTTCGCATGTGTATCATTTAACTAATTCATAGTAATTTTTGAATTTCTAATTGATTGTTTAAAGTTGTTTATAAATGAATAAATTTGAATGTTTATTAAATAAACATTTCTAATCTTCAGTAAGGTCATATGAATTTTGATAATATAATTAAATTTTAAAAAATAAAAATAAAAATTCAACCATCTAAACTAATTTTTAACTGGCTCAAGTAAAAATTTGGGACAAAAATTGAATTATTTTTCAAAAGTTAACAAATAATAGTTATGATAAATATATATAACTCTGAAAAATAATGGTTAATAAAATATTTTCAATTTGGGTTATATTGTTATGAAACTTTTTATTTTATTTTAACTATTTCTTTTTGATTATATATGTGACATGAACATAAATTAATAATAAATACATGAATAATAATTTTATAAATTATTTTTATAACAAACCTTTCATTTTTTAATATTAATAATATTTATGCAGGAGAGTAAATAATAACGTAATCAATAACAAAAAATTAACTAAGAATTCAATTTAATAATTTGATAAATTTTGATGTAATTTAATTATTTTTGGATTTTTTTAGCTTATTTTTAAGTCTTTTTAGAGTTTTGATAATATAAATAAAGTACCAATATAGCACTATATAGTTTAGGAATGATTTAAGTAGCTTATTTTATGTTATAGAGGGTTTTATGTGGTGTTAAATAAAAAATAATGAAAAAACTTGATTTCATTCTAAAAATTAGCCTTTTTTTTTTCAGGAATTAATATTTTTTTAATTTTTTTTAACAATATTGATATATTTTTTAAATAGAAGAGGGCTTGAATTTACTTATTAGTATCCGTAGTATATTATAATGTTAATATTGTATGAAGGATATATTAGTCAACCACAAGTTTTCAGGTACTTTGTGCTTTTATATATAGTTATGGATTTTAATATTTTCTAAGAAATTGATGTGGATACCAGGTATATTGGTGGCATGACAAGTACCGACCGAGAAAGCCCAAGTACTTCAACCGTGTTCACACTGGATATGAGTGGAACAAATACAATCAGACTCACTATGATCATGACAACCCACCTCCTAAGATTGTGCAAGGATACAAATTCAATATCTTCTACCCAGATCTTGTTGACAAGACAAAGGCTCCAACTTATACCATTGAGAAGGATGGTGGCAACGGCGAGACTTGCATTATCAGGTTCCATGCAGGGCCACCATATGAAGATATAGTAAGTTCTCTTTATCTGACTGAAAGTTTCCCGTTGATTTTCTTTTGGATCTGTAGCTCACATACCATTTGATTGTATGACAGGCATTCAAGATCGTAAACAAAGAATGGGAATATTCTCATAAGAAGGGATTTAAGTGCACATTCGAACGTGGAATTTTGCATGTTTACTTCAACTTCAAACGCTACCGCTACCGTCGATGATGCGTTGCTAATTTTTGCAATTTCGGTTGCTAATTTTTGCAATTTCGGTTGCCTACTTCAACTTAAAATGCCCGTGCAACCATTGATATGCGGCCTAATTTTGCAATCTTGTTGCCAAGCTGTAAATTACATGATTTTGTTATTTGATATAGTGGAACCAGTTGCTTTTAAGGAGCTTCTTGTAATATTTAATGTGTATTATTATTATTATGGTTATTTCAGATTTCAAACGAAATAGTCAAATAGCAATTTTTTCCATTATGGCCATCTTCACAAAAGCGTAGTTCTAAGATGCGATGAATCAACAAAGGATTGGCAAGATGCAGATGCAGAGTTTGAAGAATAAAATGGCATTTATCATTTCAGAAGGATCCCTTTTGGAGAAACCTATGGTTACTTTCCAGTGTTTCACGGTAAAAAAAAAAAAAAAAAAACGGTGTATTTTTCTCCCTGCGTAACTGGAATTACCATTCTTTTTGCAGTGATTTTTCTTCTTGGAATCACCTGGGTTTAGGTTACCTTCTGTCTGGAAATTAGATTAAACCTGTTTGGACTAGTTACAAGGATGAGTTACACGGTGATAATAAATGTAGCCCTTAAAACAATTTTGCGCCTAGCTAGGATTCGCTCTCCTTGTTACTGTCCCCATTTAGAAGTACAGATTCGCTGTCCTTGTTATTCCTTTGTGTTTTGCGATTGTGCATTATTAAATTTATGATTCTAATTGAGATTCCCAAACAAGTTGAGGTTGGATCTCACTTTCTGATTATGCTCAACAAAACTCTCATCAATTACCACCACTGAAGCTACTACAAAATCATAGAAAAGCTCGTTTCAGAGCTTAGCTCAAATAGAATGACGGGGACAACAAGTGGATTACTTAGCTGCTCCACATTTTCGAATGAGACTTCTATATTAAATTCGGACAGAATGCTACTAGCAGCACAGCACGAGACAAAAGGAGACACCCATCATGTTTGAGAGAATGATGTGGTAGACAGGCACGGACAGTTCAAGATTAATTATATAGAGAACTAGTAATAAAAATACCGCCACATTAAGTTTCGGCGTTTAATTAAAAATTGTCTCAGAAGTTTTCACAACATCAGGGCATACGCTCAAAACAAAAACTGGCCGCTTAAATGCATATACTAATGGTAGCTAGAGTTCAAAAGCTGATACTGCTGTAATCAAAAGGTCTGTAAAAACTGAGCCCTCAACAGTAGAACATAACATTCTTCACATTGGGGCTGATGGCTGGAAGTGGCCGGACAGGGGTAGCTTCCTTTCTCACAGCAGGTCCTGTGCCACAACCACCGTCTGATGAAATGTCCCCCTCTATGTAGTATCTGGCCCTGAATGCTGCCAAGTGTGCGTAGTATGCAGGAGGAACTGCACGATCAACCGAACATGTACATCAGAAACAATTGGATGCGTTGGGACAAGAGAGGGAAAAATATGAATCGTAACGAATGATATCCAGAGATAGAAGTCAAGGGATTAGGAACAAACCCACAGAGACAGAGCGGGTACACCTTGCGTACCTAAGACAGGTGAAAAATAACAATAATGAACTTAGAATTATTCAATTAGTGCTTTAATATGAAAAGCAAACGGACAGAACTTTATTCAAGATGACGTTCGAACTCTTTAGAACCACTGATATTTTTAAATCAGAAAGAATAGAAAATCTCACGTGTAGCACAGGTTGTTAGTCAACATCTGCAGCCGATCAGCAGTGAATTTGTTCATGTCACACAGCACATGATAATGAACCGGCCTGCTAGTCCCCTGAGTCAAGTGAAATCATGGTTGCATTTAATCTTTAAGTAAGCTCTCACTATGAGGAAAATCTAATGATAATTACCATTACAGCTACCTGAATTCCCGCATGGCTGCAGAGATAGAAGTCGTGCTCTGAAGGATGGCATATCTTTGTATCGACAACCGTTCCTAACCATAGCAAAAATTTTAGAGAAAACTTGAGAAAGTTCAAACCAAATCAGTGGACTTTTTGTGCTGTTTCATTCCCCAAATTATGTAGTAACATTTAGCCTCATCCTCTAGGGCTTAGGCCCTCCATTCAATCAGAAAGAATTTCCAATCACACAAACAAAACAGAGCCACCATACGAACCAGGAAGGATGTTTCCACTCTTGTCTGTTTGGTTAGGATTTGTAGCAAAGAGTCGTGTATGATGTCTCTTCTGCACTACAATAAAAGTAACTGGTGGCAGATAGTTCGGTTCCAGTGATGCACAAGCCTGATGAGAACAGAAGCAGAAAATTAGAAACCTCAATACAAGATTTGTCGCTCACATAAAAAAAAAAAAAAGGGACCTGGAACAAATCCTTCTCACCTTTCGTATAGCATCCATCTCATAGAGAAGAACTTGGCTGAACTGGCCGTCACTAACACCATCCCTGTCATATGTTGAAAACAGGATTAGCCACTTGAAAAACAGGTCTGCTCTTTATCGCCTACAATTTGGACAACCACATACCTATAGAAAATTATTCTGCTAGGTTTCTGATTAGTTGTTCTTCTGAAAGCAATCATAAGTTCCCTAGACACACCAATATAAAGGAGAAATTAAATAACAGATGTCTCAGATAGAAGAACTTCTCAATCTAACATGTTCATTTCTTACCTGATCATTCCAGCACTATCTTGAATAATCTCTTGCCGATGTTGCTGAGCGGATACCAGGCCCCTGTAGGTGGTTACTGCTGGCCAGTCCATTGATGCCACAATCTATAAGTTGATGAATTTATTAGTGGAAACCAAAAAAACCTTTATTGCATGCAAGAATTGAAAAAAAATAAAAGAGGAAGAAACATGTTTTTGCATACGGCAGCTATTGAAGGGCTAGAATCCTCCCCTGGTTGTGGATGGGTTACATCAGCACCAAAGATTATAGTTGGGGTGTCACTTAGAAGAGGTATTCTCCTATTAAGGGCATCCTCTAATACTGTGTTCTTCCCTCCAGCCTATTGACGCAATTGATTGATAAGTAGAAAGTTGAACTGGACACAGATTCACAATATTAAACTAAGATTGTGATGGGACAAACCTTCACATTAATTTTCAGTGCAACATTTTCCAAGTATTGAGGACTACACTTTCTTGCTTGCTTGGGCTGACAGCATTGAGAAACTATCCCGAGTTCAGTTTCGCAAACTCTTTTTATCGTGCCTATAAAGCATGGAAGTATAAGTGCGTGGTCAGTAGAAACTGAGTCATCTTCATCAATTCTGATGAGTGTTAGGACCATTACCATAACTTCCACTGACATCAGGGAGAATGATAATTAAAAGTTGAAGCTGTTTTCTTTCATTATTACATATGCTGTGAACTTCGGCCAATGTTTTCTCGAGCTGGTTAGGATGGCTAGACCTTAGTGGGAATACAGGTGCAGGATTTATGTCCTGAAAAGTAAAACCATCCTTTTTAGCAGCATTTCAAATCAACTGGTAAGTATAATAAGGAATGATGCTCACCATCCCCTTGTTGCGGCACATGCCTACCAGGGCTCGACAGAAGCTAGCAGCCATTGGTTCACCAAGATTTGAGAAGTTGAGAAACATCCAAAAGTTCACTGTCGCCCCTTCGAACAATTTCTGCATGAAAATTAAGATGATTGTGAGATGATCCACTCTAAAAGGACGGAAATGAGAAATTGAGAACACAAATAAAAGTAAGACAGCTGAAAGGTTATTGTACTATTAATTATATTCCTCATGTCACAAAACTGAGAATATAAATTCATTACTTACAGCATTAATCATGTTCCACTGCCCCACTCGGGGTCTTATAGTTCTATCTTTTCCCAAATCATGGTACTTGAGCTAAAGAATCAAATCCAGAATGTGAATGGTTAAGGCCAGTTCGAGGGGTATTAAAGCATCTTATAAAGAGAGGCAAGATGCATAATTACCACTGGAGGTGGCAAGACTCGGGCATTGATGCAAGTCAGTTCCTTTTTGACACTGACTCCAAATTCTTTGGTTAGTTCGTCTTGTGCAACGTCATTTAATTGAGCAACCTATAACCAACATATGACTTAGATCATCATACCGTAAAAGGTAAGTTTTTGAAACCTACAGACAGCTCTAGAACTTAGATTTAATCAACAAGAAGAAATAGAAACTAGAAATGGGAGTGAAAATCACAAGCATCTTCTCAATACTACTTTCTCTCTCAACAGGGCGCCTGCAGGCCTCTCTCATCAGGGCTGTCACCTGCTTTTCATTCAACTTCTTTGAGTACCTCTGCCCCTCAATAATCATGCAACACTATTGAAACAAGAAAGCAGTTAGTATAGAGGTAATAAACAGTAAGGCCTATTCCAGAGCACGAAGGGGTAAACAGAGAAAGTGATGATGTTATAATAGTAAGTCAAACATAAGTGGTAATGGTAAACCAAAGTAATATATAATAAACCTCCATAGGCAGGAATATCGGTCTTGAATCATTTCCTGATTGAAGAGCAGGCCAGCATGCAAAACGAAGCCTTATATTGTACTTGTCCAGGAAGTACTGGACAACAGATTTTTGTTTTCCATCTTCAGCAGCAAACCTGGAAAGAGTAAAAAATCTAGTCAATATTCATGAACAGAAAAAAGGAATAACAGACGGCAGATTGCAGATGGATACTAAACAAGATAATGGGGAAATAATATGGCATTACAAACAAAGAAACTTCGATAAGGACAACCTTACCTGAGTTTGTTTGTTGGTGAAGGAGATATTCCAGTGATTTTGTAATGCTTCTCCTCTCCATGGGTAACTTTTACTCTGACTCCTCTCAGAGCTTTTCTCAACTGAAAGAAGTGAGTGAAGAAAGGTTTTAATTTTTTCACACGTCAAAAGAAACTCAAGTGCAAATGCAGCACATCTAGGAAAGGGTTATGCAGAGATTAAGCAAAAAAAACGTACTGGAGCGGTTACACATTTACCGCATGTTAATTAGCGACCTAGTATGAATGCCGCTAACCATGCAACACTGGGGAAAAAGAGGGAAAGAAATACCTTTACTTGATCACTATCTGACAAAAGCCTGGTAGCTGCCCTCGTTGGATCTCCTAGATTTAATAGTTTTGCAACAAAATCAACTGCAAGAATCGGCTCGTAGAAGGCGGTAACTGAAACATCTGCAAGCAAGGAATTAGATTTGTTTAGAAATTTATCAGCAAGAAGTTCAGAGGTGCATATACGCCACAGAAAACGTACCCATGTTAAGAGACATTCCCATCTGCGTTGGGCGTAGAGACTGGTAGAATCCCTTCCAGCATTCTAGACCATTACCAATCTCACTTTTTTCACCCAGACCAATCGGGAAAAATGACCTCCCAACAACGGTGCAACTTCGTAATGGCAGAGGTGACATGGCAAAGAAACCAATCATAGAATTCCGCATTCAGCATCAAGCAATGAAACACCAATAAATAGATAGCTCTTTACTGTTATTGAGAAACATACTTGTTGGATGGTGATTCCCTTAGGACTACATCAAGCACTTGTATGGTATCGTGCGGTGCTTCCCTTTGTCTTCTCTGCAGAAACTCCTTGAGATGGTAAAGGTCTGTTTTGGATGCCAACTTGACAGTTACTTTGAATTTCTTCTCTTTTCTGTTATGTAGATATAAATGTTGTGGTGCTGATTTTGAGTCACATAAAGTAGATGAACTGCTGGGAACATAGAAACATGAAATATACATAAAAGTGAAGGGAAATCACCTCACAGATCCTTGATCATCTTTCTTTGTAAGGGTAACCGCAAAATCCTGCGAGGTGAATGGTAGAGGTCCAGCAGTGTAGAATCCTTTTCTTCCGTCATAAGCAGGTATTCTATTGTCGAAGTGAGTGCCATTCACAGCAAGAAGCTCTCTCATAATTGCTCTGTTGACCCCTCGAGATGTGACTTCAGGAGTTATAGAAACCTACACCATATACAATGTCGGAAACACTAATAAGAATTACAGGATCTACATTAGAAGAATTAAAAAAAAAAAAAAAACACATTTCACAGAACAGAAAATTCAAAGAACATAAAAAAAGGGGATGAACATAAATATAAGCCATAATCAAATCACAGCAAGCTTATCAAGCCTCGACACAAAGCATGAAAAAAGGAAAGAGTCCAAGTTTAAAAACCCAAAGAACACTCAAATCATTCAGCTCTACTAGAAAAACCGAGAATAACTTGACATTAAACAATTGATGACGTTTAATTTAAGGTTACTTTGAACCATTGAAATGCTCTAAAACCCATCTAAACACCAGAGATGGTCATTGCTTTACTTAAGGACAGTAATTATTTGGCAATACCTTTTATCTTCTACACTTTTTATTGGGAACCAAACAAGAGAACAAAATGTTTAGTCTCTAAGGTTCGATAAGCATATTTATGCAACATTAATTCAGGTTGGCAAACATTTTACACCCAAATACAAAAATAATAAAAAAAATATAGGTTGAACCCAAAATTAAAACGTTCAAGTACTCAGCTTAACTAAGCAGACCGACAGTCAAAGAAGATTGCCTCAATGCTAGGTTAGCCAAGTTACTACTAACACTTCAAACCTAGAAAAGTAAAATTTCCTTGAGAAACAAAGCAAAAATAATATACTTAAATAAGAGATGGTAATCGAATTTACCCGTTGAAATAAAAAAAGAAGAAGAGGAATGACATTGAAAAACGCAAACAAACAAATGAAAAACAGAGAACGGATCTGAAATGAAGTTTCATGAGATTTTTTAAAAAAATAAGTTAAAAAACTTCTTGAGCAAGTTTTCTCGCATTTTGCTTTGTTTCACTAACCAAAACACACACAAGCTTTTTTTTTTTTTTTGAAAACAACTTCAAACAAAAACAGATTTACATGCATTTTGTAAAGAAAAATCTAACAAACATTTTTAGTTGATGAAAACACCGAAATTAGAAATAAAAAGAAAATAATAGCGTTATTTCCAAACCTTCTTTTATTTCAAAATTCATAAGAAAAAAACAAAGAGCAGTAAATAAACAGCCAAATAAAGCACGTCTTATCATAAAAACTTTAAACGAAAAACTTTCTTCAAAATTTCCTTCGTTTTCTCGCGAACCAAACGGAAACTTGAAATATAAACAAAAAAGAAGTAGAGAAGAGAAAAGATAACATTACATCGTAGTGATGTAAGTGACGGTCAGCGAGCTCAACAAGAAAGTGGTTAGCTCTAATGAGACACCTGGACCCCTCCGTACCGTAACCAGGTCTTTGGGCAAACTTCGCAGAGGAAGCGGGTACGAGTTGCTGCTGATGACGCTGTTGCGGTGCAGGAACGGCCGCTGGTCGAGTAGAAGCAGCTGGTTCAGTTCGAACAACGAGCCGCTCCATCTCGTTACGGAGTTGGCTCACAGAGGAGCTAGAGCCGGCCTCAGACGAAGCCATAGGAGAAGGACGTGGAGCTCCACGTCCTCTGCCACGCCCTCCTCCTTGTATCGGTGCAGGCGAGTCACCGCGTTGACCTCTTCCGCCTCCTCTGAAGTACATTGTTTTATTTTTTTAGAGATTTTGTGTTTCTGTGTTTTTTAGAGAGAGAGAGTGAGTGAGTGGGTAGTGGCTGTGTCAAGTAAAGGACGCTTTCTATGGGGGAGACATGCTGAGTTTAATGGAGAGAAATAATAGGAAGGTAGTTTCATACTTGAGTAAAATATTCCAAAGTCCTTGGATTCTTGACTTCTGAAAATCTATCCTTCGTATTTGCAAAATTATAATTTAGTTTCTTGATTATTGTCTTATTAAAACATCTACTGGTTTTTTTTAAAAAACAAATTTCAAATGTAGTCTTTGATGGTTTAAATTTTAGAGTAAAAAAGGAAAACCTAACTTTTTCCTGTAAAGTGCATGTGGGAATTATCTTTTTTATAAAAAAACCAATCATTTATATGATTTATATTTGTCATTTATTAGTTGATGGTTGAATTGAATATTACTGATACGAAAGTGTTTTTATTTCAAGTTTTATTATTATTATTTTGCATTTATTTTTGGATTTATTTTTTACATAGAGTTTTTTTTTTCTGATTGGAGTTTAGTTTACCATTATCTTATTAATATTTATAAGGTTATTATTATTATTATTATTATTTTGAATTGGACTGACTTAGGCTATATAAACCTTTTTTTTTTTTTTTTTTTGTGTGTGTGTGTGAATTTTACAAAGACATATTGTTATTGAATACAACTTATTGAGAATCTTTCAATTTTTGCGTGATTCCTTATGATATTCTTAGGGTTACATTTTCTTTATTCTTGAATTGATTTTTTGATATGTTGATTGTAATTTTTGTAAGCTAAGGTTTCTAACTTTACATAATCAGAAAAGTTAGGGTTAATTTATATCATTTATTTTTTGTGGCAAATCTAGTAGTTGGTATGAAATTTTCATTTGAAAAGTTTATATATATATAATTTGTTAGAGAAAAAATGCATTTTAATAAGATAATAACTTTCAACAATCAAAGCACTAAGTTATAAATTTTAACATGTAGGACTAATTTATAATTACCTTCTAAATTGAGGGGCACAAGAAAATTGATTCCTGGAGAGAGCACTGGCGTAATCGAGTACAGAAGAGTACTGTATGATAGGCACCGCCGTCCGCCGAGGTGCTTGGGAGCCTGCAGTGTGCTGACACAGCGTAAAATGACGAAGAGGGCGAGTAAATTATAAATTAGTCCTTTTATTTTTTTAAAATGAATTAAATAGTCTTTCTAGTTTGTTTTTAAATCTATTATTAACTTAATCATTTTTTCAATTTATTTTTAAAAATATAAATAAAAAATATGAGAGAATTAATGAAAAAATATATTTTTGAATAAATTAATATTAAATTAACTATGATTAATATTGGTCAAGAGATTAATTCGTTTTTGAAATAAGAGGGATTATTTAATTTATTTTGCAAGACTAAAGGGACTAATTTATAATTCATTCGGAAGACGGCGGGATGAAGCAAAGGCATGCGTTGGCGCTGCTAATTACGGCCAAAAATAAAGTAGTGCTATTTTGGTAGTTATATTAAAAGACAAATAAGCATTCCCATCTGCTGTACGAATATGGAAGTTTTGCAGTTGAGTCTATTGACAGCTAGCGTACGCCATTATAAGGTCCGTTGCCATATCAGGATGGCAGTAACGGGGGAAAGGTACATAGAAGTAAAAACAAAATAACCATTCTTGTTAAAAGGTCTAATTGATTGTTGCTTTGAAGCATGTGAGATTAAAAAATCAAAATTATGCTTTGCTAAATATGTGTATGCTAATGCTACTACTGCCAACTTGGTCAGTGGTAACACTTTAAGCAGGCTAGCCAAAAACGGTGCCAGTTTAAGCATTTATCAGTTTTTTTTTTTTTTTTTTTTTCATTTAAGTTACATTTTGGTCTTTAGAATTATTGATGGAGAGAGAGGTGGAAATTTAGGAGAAATAAGGCATGAGAGAGCAGTGGGCGATTAGGGCATTATTGACTATTTTTCTAGCAAAAAAAGGAGTGTCAAAGACGTCGCGTGGTTGAATAGAGTTAATTGGCGGCCATGAAACACTCCTTCATGGTCAGAAAATGGAGATCGAAATCAAGATACAAATTCATTTCAAAACTTTAATTTTATTTTTATACAATTTAAAGTGAATTGATGTGGATTCTAGAGTTAAAAAGGGTTTTGTGAACGTTAATTCTGGATGATTTTGAGATCTTTTTACTGAAAATGGTTTTGAAATATGAGGTTTTGGGTCCCATAGGCAGCTGCCCACAATTCTATGGCCGGAAAATGTTGCCCAGAGTGATGCGCCATTTGAATTTTTTTATTTATTTTTTTAAGAACAAAATATGCATCTGGCCCTGGCTGTCCTTTCTCCTCTTTTTCTTCTTCTTCTTGGTTTTTTTTTTCCCCCAAATATATATACTTTTTTTTTTGTTTGATGATTTTAAATTTTCTTTGATTCTCCAATGAATTCCTACATATTACTTAATATATGTAACCTTATGTTATTATTTACGCTGTATACAAGTTAGGTACTTCCTTTAAATTATGCTAGTTTTTATGCACAGATATAAATATGATATTAAATATTAAAATGAAACAAGTATAATCATTGTTTTTTTTTTTATTGAAAAGTGTCAAAAGCACATCAAAATTAAATCATGCATGAATAAATTGAGACCTTGTAATATTTTTTGTATTAAAATTTATCTTTCTATGTTGCGCAATTTTATAATGTTTGTGATAATAAAGTATTTGAAATTAGATATTCACTAGGGGCTTTTCATACAACCATGTGAGAGAAATATTTATGATACATTTTTAGATTTTAGATCTAACATATATTTTAAATTAAATTTTTTTTATTATTTTAAATTTATTTATTTAAATTTTCATTTATTATAATAATTCTCATGCAATTATTTTTTTTCTTTGCCTTTTTTTGGGAATTTTAAATTTTAACAAGTATGATTTATTTTTTTTCTATGTCTGAATTTAAATTTTTTTTTCAAACATAATTATTTTTGTTTTTTAGAAAATGAATCAATATAATTTATGAAGACTTTTATAATTTTTAAATGAGAATAACATGATTTTGAGTATATATATATAATCTAAAGGCTATAAGTGTATTGCAAATATTTTTTCCTAGATTTTAGAATTTTTGTTAATAACTAAAAAATAATTAAAGATAAGAAGTGAAAAAATAAAACCTTCGTGATTGCTCTATGTTAGAGTATGGTCTAGAAATAAATAATATTTTTTTAAAAAATAAAATCCATGTGCTTTTTTTTTTTATATAATTATTTTTTTAGATTGATTTTGTAGTGGTTTTTATTTCAATCTATTAACTTTATCTTAATCTATTCCCTACATATTAAGCATTTTTATAATACTTTTCATCTTAGAATCTAGTTTCTAAATCCATTTAGTACAATCATAATGTATATATATATATAAACGAAATCATGGGTTTTATTGAAAAATAGTCAGGCACCTACGTAAAAAACACCGTCCATTCACTATTATTTGTTTAATTTTTTGATATTTCAAAATCAATTTTTCTTTGAATAAAATAGCTAAAATAATATTTTAAACTACCCAATAATGTCATATTTTTTTAAATAATATTGGAGTTTTCTTTAAGCTAATATATATATATATATATATATATATATATATATATATATATATATATATATATAAGTACTTTTAAAAAACAATTGTCTCGTGAATTTCAATAAGAATAAATTTTTTTAAAATTTTTTTACACAATTTTTAAAATTAATTGTTGTTTTATTTTTCTAATAAAATCTCGTTAAAAAAATATATTAAGGCATACCTTTATGAATTTTTTTCCAAATTTGTTGTTTAAATTATTATAAATTTTTATTTAAAAATCCATGCATAAATAAAAATAAATCATGTCTTTTTAAAGGAAATTTATAGAAAAAATAAGGAAGAATTAATTAAAGACTATAATGTATTCGTTAGAGCTCTTCTAAGTAGCTCGATTAATTTTTAAGGCATGTTTTACAGACTGATGAGCGAAACTTCATTGTTGCTTTTGTCCTTTGAAATTATGTAAAGACCTACTAAATCTGATCTGATGATGCTGTCAAGATCACTTATATGTCTATAATTTATTTATTTTTACTGCCTGTAAAGCTTCAAAAAATAAATAGTTTATTGATTTTCACTTAAATAACTATCTGATTTCAATGGATTTTTTTAAACAATGTTGCTCGGACATCAAGTCTGCAAGCCATAACTTGCGTATTTTTGTTCTATAAAAAAATAAATCAGAGGTTATCAATAGATGATGCAACGTAAATATGAATATGATACAATAATGTTTTTCGTATTTGAAAGTTTCATATAAATCTATATAAAAAACTTTCAATTTTAAATAAAAATATTGTGTTGTTGTCGAACATGACTAGAAATAATCTGACGTTACAATTTATCTAATAATTTTTTCACTTATTGCTTATTTCAACATCCGGTCCGCCCACAGCAAAACACACACACACAACAACTTAATTAAACACTAAAAAATTTGTTTATTGTTCATTTGCCGTATAGTTACTACAGTGGTGGTGATGCATCGTCTGTAGTGTGACAATAGACGACGCGCCATCCATTGGTTTTTTTTTTTTTTTTTTAATATGTGGCTAGACTAGGGCAACTGGGCGTGCTTCTGCAGGTCTAGGACTTGGGCCTGCAAGCCTAGAAGTGCAAAGTCTGCATCTGCAGGCCCCACGAGTATCCTTGACTTCGGTTTTTTTTTTTTTTAGTAATTTTTTTATTATTGATTTTGTGCAAAATTTATGAAAAAAAATAATTTTTTTTTCATACGGCCTAAGATGAAGTAATATGATTTCTTCAATTTTTAATTTGTAATTTTTTTTTTTGCTTTCAAAATTTAAGATGATTTCTTTGATTTCTCATTTTTTTTTTAATGAAAACATCTACTTAATTTTTTGATTTATTTTTTATATAATTTTTTTAAAAAGAAAATATGATTTTTTTTCTATACGAATGAATTTTTGAATAAAATTTTAAAATGTTATTTTTTAAAAATACATCAATATAATTTATTTGTTGGATGATTTTAATTGAACATCCAATATATGTAATCATCCGATATATATAATCTAAAGATTATAAAATGTATTTTTTTTCTTTTGGATATTTTAAAATGATTTATTTTGAATAAATTAATTAAAATAATTTTAAAAATAACCATCCAATATATATATATATATATATTCAAAAAATAATCTTCTTACTAGGATTAAATAAGAAGAAAGTTTTTTTTTTATTTATTTGTTGAAGTTTTTACATGAATTGTAGCTTTATTATATTTTTTTAAGGTTAATACCCTCACCTATACTTATGTAATATCCCAAATTTTTAATCTATCTCTAAATTTTAAAATGACTCCAATATGTCGTTATTGTTTGAGTTGTTTCCAATCTATTTTTTTATTTAAAATTTTTTATCAAATTAAACATGTGATTTGCACATAATATTTGATTTGATAAAATTATCTTTGTTATTTGGTATAAATGATCTACATCTACTAATATGAAAGTTAATTTCTGATGAATTGATAAAAAATTTTAATCAACATAATAGATTAAAAATCATCACAAATAAAAGAAACAGATTGAAGGCGTTTTAAAATTTAGGGATAGATTAAAAAATTGACCTATTATATAAAGATATATGAGAGTATTACCATTTTTCTTTTTATACAACCTTATGAAAAAAATATTTATGTTCTTTTTTGAATTCAATTTTCTATTTAAATTATTGTAGATTTTTATTTAACAATCAATGCATACAAAATAACAAATTATGTTTTCTTCAATGAAAAATTTATGAAAAACATAAAAAATAATCAATTAAATATAAAATTATTATTAAAATGTTATTAGATTAGATTTGTTTTTTTTAATTTGATATATTTTAAAAAATTTACAACATAATATGGAATATCAAATTGAAATAATTTATTTCTGTTTGACCTATAGCGTAGAGCGGACAACAAATTAATAATATAACTAAACTGCTAAGCTTTTGTTAAGAATGGCAAAAAAGACACTAGGAGAACTTTGACTCGCAACCTAACAACAAAATTAATTTCAACATTTAAAAATATAAATTTATTAACCATCTTTAATGTTAAGTTTCAATATTTGATATTAATAAATATCCACATATAATACCCGTAAAGACATCCTATCATGAAGCCCACAAAGTAAACATCCACTAAGCAAAGCACTTAAATAAGCAGACACTGACAATCCAATGTATCAACTAATTTAATTTTTCTAATCAATTTTTTAGGTATTTTTAACATGTGGCTCAAAGCCTTGCATTAAATGATGCACAATGAAATATTTTAATTTTCATAATCAATAATATTAAATTATGAATTACGATTTAACTCAATTATAAAAGTAGATCCACTCAATTATATATGAAAATAAAATATTTTATTTATATCAATTAACGTGTACTCTGATAGCATATGTTTTTTTTTTTTTTAAATATATACAAGACTCTTAACAAAATTAATTTATTAGGATTTGAAATCATAATCTTTTATCAAAAATCATTATCATTAAATTATAAGCTTTTTAGTTCAGTGCATATGTTAGAAAACCCTTCTTTTTCAGTCTTTCTAGCTCCTTCTTTTTATCTCAAAATACAAAGCAAAGAAGTTTTAGTTCCTTTCCACTCCAATCGCTACTAATGATTTATTTACTCTATTTTCTTCAACTAACAATTCACCCTCCAATTTATAAACATACCAAACATCTTTAAATTAATGCCAACTCTAACATCCTTCAAAATTGTTCGTGATAATTCACCCTCCATTTTTCAATCTCGTACTAAACGTCACCTCAGGTTATGTTTGGTTTGGGATGAAAATTTTGAAAAGAAGATGCTAAAAGAGTAAAATTTAAGAGTGAGATGTCAAAGGTGTGAAATTGTGTAGGGATGAAGTATTAAAGATATCTCTAGGAGATGAAAAAAATCATAAAATAATAAAAGATCTCAAAATCAATTAAATTCTAGATTAAATATAATTACAAAAAAATCAATATAATTTATGAATAAAATTAAATAATAAAAAAGAGGAAACACGCAAAACTAAAAAAAATTTCTCTCTTCAAAATTTCCTTACTCTTGTGCAAGGTTGATAAATTCTCCCCTCAACCAAGACAAGTTAAGGTGAAAGGTTACTAGATATTATAACATGTTATATTTAGTAAGGGTTAATGACAACCAAAATTTAT